TTTAAATCTGACTTCCAGTTAAGTGACCACATGGAGTAGAAGCAGTGGAGAGCAGCTCCTGCGCATTTTCACCTTCTAACATTTCATTACGACATTCTACAACTACAACTTGCTGTAATTTATTGGTGTCTATTATCTTATTGTAGTCTAGTTTAAAATGACTTTGAAGAGCAGCAAATCTTCCAAAAAAGACGATGACGATTTATTTATTTAAAGTCTTTCAGCCTGCTGGAAGCGAAGTTCAACCAAGTTCTGTTTACGGTGGAAGACCATGGTCAACACCAGGGGTCCCTCAAGCTGGTGGCCGACGACCTCAGCCAACGTCTCAGAGAGTTGGAAAATGTTTGCTCTGGTCAACAGGAAGACAACTCTGAACTCAAGACCAAAGTCACCGGCCTAGAGCGCCAAAGCAGATGGCAAAACCTACGTATTCTGGACCTGGAGGAGTCAATGAAGGCAGGAGCCATACCACATTCTTTTCTGAGTTACTGTTCGAGGTGTTCGGGATGGACGCACCGCAGTCCTCACCAGAGATTGACAGAGCCCACTGCTCACTAATTGCCAAACCAGCCCTGGGACAGCAACCGCGCCTGGTATTCTCCAATTACACCACTACAGGATAGAAGAGTTTAAATCCTTCAGTTTTTTTGAGTCCGTGTAAAAAGTGAGTGAGTTTGATCGCCAAAATAAAGACAAAGATCTGACAGTGAAGAGGTGACGCCTGCTCTCTGTCAGCGATACAAACACAGACTGTGTGAAGCTTGAGAACTGATGAGTCAGAATTAGACCTCTGTGGTTAATCAACCTATATCTGAACCGGGGTCTACTGTCCTCAGAAAGGCTCAGGTTCAGAAATCTGTGTGTGTGTGTGTGTGTGTGTGTGTGTGTGTGTGTGTGTGTGTGTGTGTGTGTGTGTGTGTGTGTGTGTGTGTGTGTGTGTGTGTGCTCAATGGTTACTGTGGGGGGGGGCAACTGGGGATTAAATTTAGACTTCAAAACCCCAAACACACACAGTGACCCCCCCACACCTGTTAGAGAGGATAAGGGTCAGCTGACTGCAACACACACACACACACACACACACACACACACACACACAGACATGCCTGTACTCTGTTAGCTTAGCATAAAGAAGTGTTATTAGCATGTTTCTGTCCTGATACCAGCTGATTGTTTTGTGTGACCAGTCAGGTTAAGAGCTGTCAATCTTCTGAGCCCAATCAACAAACCATAAGCCCTGCCCCCAGCATGCTTCTGTTTATTCTGCAGAGACAAACAGATGAGAGATCGCATTCAGAGAGGAGACGGACTCTGCAGGTAAGACTGTGTGTGTGTGTGTGTGTGTGTGTGTGTGTGTGTGTGTGTGTGTGTGTGTGTGTGTGTGTGTGTTTGTGTGTGTGAGAGAGGTGGTCTGATGGGTCCTGAAGAAGAAGACGGAGAAGGAGGTCTCAGTAAACTGTCAGTACCTGTTTATTCGGTTAGTGTATAAATCCTTAACTGTCAATACTTGACCAAAGACTAAAGATGACGTTTCAAATCTTCAAACTGAAATATAGTGAAAAAAAAAACATTTAAAAGAAGCAGAAACAGAGGAACAACCAAACAAAAAAAAACTCTGATTGGTTGTGAAACCCGCCAATCTCAGATCAGTGACTTGATTTGTAGCTGTAGGAAGAACAATCTGTGACTGTGACTTCCAGCGGTTGTAAATATCGATTTGTATTTGTGTTTTAAAACAACACAACTTTTTTCCTGAAAGCTTATTGTACATTAATGTAACATTTTTTGCACAAGTTCACATAAAGATCTGAACATGTTCCCATTTTGTCAAAAACTTCACATTGCTCCATACAGGTCCATACAAATATGTGAGTGTGTCAGAGTTTGAATCTGTGACTTGTAAAATAGGATTTGTGCTCCTGTCATTAAAGGTGGGTTAGTCAGGATCTGAGGAAGTTCCAGTTTTTAGGACAAATATTGAATGTGAACTCTACCCCTGCCAACCAGTTTTCCCCTCAGCTCCTCCTCTCCCCTCCCGCTCTGCTCCAGCAAGCCCCGCCCACAAACAGACGCTCCTGCTTGCTCGTATCATTCCTCTTAAATTCAGATATAATGCAGATAAATACTTCAGATAATTACAAATGGGGCCCAGTCAACGTGAAAGTAAAAAGCATTGGTGCTACTGTAGACGCCAACAGACTACCAGCAAACAATGGCCCTCATTTATCAAACTTGCGTATGGCAGAAAACTTGGGTACACCTTGCATACGAAAATTGTGTCGTGAGGATCAGCATTTATCAATCTGCACGTGAGCGTACGCTACGACAAACTCTCACGACAGGTCTGACTTTGTATACGCAAGTTTGAGTCCATGTGGATCTGCGGTGCAGCAAATGTCTGTCTCAAAATAATTGATACACAAACCTCAAAGCACAATCAGCCAGATGAAATCATGATAAATTTGTTATGTTCTTAGTGAATAGGCCTATTTGATAACTCTGCCCAGAAACACTGCCACAGAGCAGGAGCGCCATTTTAACATTGCGCACACACACCACTGTGGAGCGCTGCGTTTCACTCCTAAAAGGCAGGTGTCTCTGTCTTGGCCTAGCAGCGGGGATGTTGTTGTACACTCCTGAAAGGGTGTGGGACATCATTTGGGCCAGTACAGTTCTGCACAATGTTGCACTGGCGAATGAAGTGCCGTTGGCTGTGCTGGTGGAACGTGAGGACCCAATGCCCAAAGAACAATAACGAGGAGAGACTCTACAAAGGTGCTGTACAGAGGAGACAGGACCTTATCCATGGATTCTGACATGTAAAATATAAGTTTAGAAAGTGCTCTTGCTATTTATTCAGTGATAAAAATCCATTTGAAATCCATCAAAATGTGCCTCAGGAGCAGCAACACAACATTTGGTGACGTTAATAATTATTTTTGTTCAGCCTCTGTCAGACTCTCCAGTCTGCTCTACATTACAAAGACGCAACAAATTAAAACTAAATACTTTCAATAATAGGAGCAACGTACCCTATGTCATGGCAATAAAAAAAAAATGAGGCATGTATGAGATATTAATTTATCATCATGAGCAACTTATTGACTAATAAATTTATTCAAACTTCAGCCATGGACCATTATTCCGCGGCAGCACTGTTAAGCGCCACCATAATCCTGCTCCAGACAGGAGTTTTCTGGACTGCTTTTATACCAGTTTTGATGCTTCCAAAGAGAAAATCCTTGTTAGTTTCCACCACAGATGCGAGGATATCCACTTTCAGCTCGTAAAAGTTTCAAATCTTTCGAATATTTCTCCTCTTTCATGTTTGACCTCAGTGGGCGAGGTTTCTGAACCACGAATATTTAAGGGCGTAACATGTTAATGACGATCAATTTCAACCGCCGCATTTATCAAGACCTAATCATACGTACGCTGGGATTGGTCAGATACGAACCTTTTCATAAATCTCACGTGTGTCCTATCGTAGGATGAATCCTGCGCTCAGATCTGAGCTCAGTTCTACGCAAGATTGATAAATGAGGGCCAATGTTTGCAGGACTTCTACGACTTGGATAAAGTGACATAGTCCAGGACCCGAGGTCATCAGTTTAGCGGCGCTACAACACACTACAGCAGGTGCCGTTTGACAAGAAACACTTCTGTTACAGACACTTGGCTTACTTTGTTTAAGCGGTTTACCTGTCCAGCAGAAAGGTTACAGGGTCACCAAGATCCCGAAGCGTCCCCCATCATTTATGTTGACCCAGCTTTTTAGCTCTTGTCAGGTCTACCTCCTTTTTAAGCGCCTGTTATTCCGCCAGAGTCTCCGGTATTTACTTAGTTTTCTTGCTTGTGTTGGCAGTCGTGGCCAAAGGAGGATTAAGACAATTTTCCGAACTTTCTGGTTGGTTTCTACTGTCCGATGTTGTAGAAGGCTAACTTTGTTTGGGCTCGTGAACGACACGGTGGAGCAGCGTCTGCCTCACAACCAATCAGGTTGGGGAAGGATGGAGAACGGCTTTTGTATAGTTATATTACAAAATGTTATCAATAACTAATAACTATTGACTGAGATTAAAGATTTTTTGTGTAAAAACCACACAAAAAAAGAGGCTTCTTTAACGGATTCCTGCCTACCCCACCTATAAAGATTTGTGAATGTGTAAATGTGTTGTACTTGTGGAAATAAAAAAAATCAATAAGTACACAACTCATAGAGTGAAGATTTCACATTTACTAATACACATACACAATCACTGTACAGAACTACAAATGACATGTTACAGACTCACAAACTTTTTGCACCAAAAATACCTTCATACTGGATCTCCTTTTACAAACATGCTGTATTTGAAATGAGCAGACAGAGCTTCCATAATTGTTCAGTCTCAGTATTTGTTTTGTTGTTTCTTCATTAATTCAAGACTCTCTCTGGTTTGAAATTTGTTAAATTCAGTTTTTTTTACATTTAAATTTTTGGTTGTAATTAAAGTCAAACTGATTAAAATGAAATGTTTAATATTGAACCTCCTTCTCAGTGTTTTTGAGTCGATGCTTCATCACTCAGAGGTTTCGTTTGGTCCGCCTCGTTTGCTTGATGGACTCTGCTCTCCTCGCTGACTCAGTGAAACAGGAAGTGAGGTCAGAGCAAACAGCTGATGAGTTCTAGGTCAGTGTGGGAAAGGATGTGATCACATTTACACAGAACCATGAAATCAATGAGCACTAATGGACTTCAGACCGGCCCGATGTTTGTCTGTCACTGATTCACAGAGAGAGAGCGAGTGAGTGATGCTGTGGTCGGCGTGAACCAACCTGTTAGGACTGTTAGGACTGATCTACTTCGAGCCTCTTCAAGATAAAATCTGCTTTAAACTGTCTGCGTCTCTCTAAAAAACCATGACTCAGAATAACAGCCCCCCCCACCCCTCACCCCGCCCCTCCTCTTCTCTGTGTCTCTTTCAGGGGCGGAGCTTTCACCCAGGTTCAGCCTGCTGATGGAGTCTGGGGCGGCCATCACAAAATATGGAGTGTTACCGTGGATACATTCGATCCACCTGACTCTGCTGCTGATCCATCTGAGCTCACCTGGAGGTACAAGCAGCCTTGAGAACAAAAGCACAGTGTTTATTTGAAAGATTCCAGTTATTCTGAAGTTTCAGTTGAAGAATCTAAAACAGATTCACAACAACAGACTGACCTGGTCTATTGCTGCACAGGAAGACCATCATTTGACTTCCTGTTTGTTTATTTCACCTTTATTTTTATCCCTAAGCAGAATAAAGAGTGTTCAGATAAAAGAGGAATAAAAGTCCAAATGTTCCTTCAGGTCCTCAGATTTCCCTCCAACCTGCAGAGACAGAATGAAGACGACAGATCCTACATTTCCCATGATGCAACTTCAGAGCGCAGCTGAAGATAATGTTCGTTCAAATCTGATCAGGAGGCCAGTTTGTCCTCACATCATCACAGCTCTTTTTGTCATCCCATCATCATCCTCGTCCACTGTTGCCTTATAATCCACCTGTAACCCCCAATTTCCACCATATCCAGAACGGCTCAGATCTGAAACGGCGGCGATTTTTGCCTTCCGCCAATTCCTACCAGATCCATTTGTGAGGCAAATTTCGCCGGGGCTTACTGACAGCAGGAGTCGCCAGAACTCACAAGAACCCGCGGATTCACGTGTCTCTATAAAGACAGACACACAGACATATAAAAAGTAGATTGTGTCCCTCCAGAGGAGGAAATCTACTTCTAGACTTCTAGAATCAGCATCTCCTCATCCATGGTGTCATCGGGGTGAAATGACGTCTAAAAATCTTTCACTTGTTCGTCTCCGCCCGTTTGCATGGTGTGAAATACGATCCTCCTGAAACACGAAGAGTTTTATTTTGAAAAGAAGCCGGATGTTTTATTTTGTGTGTCTGTGCCCGACTTCCTTTCCAGCACGGGTTAATCTGTGCTGAACTTATCTGGCATGCTCCAGCGTCCAGAAAAAAAAGAACTCTTGCGATCAGCTGTGAAGTCCAGCGATCCACAGAGGAACGGAAAGAATCCGGTGAAAATTGACACGTTAACTTGAATGGTTATGATCAGCTACGATCGGAGGATACGACCCATTAGTAGACATTCAGAATGAGGTGGACATCAGGGGTAAGGTTATGACATCATCAATAGGTTATCTCCCCTCTCTTTCTGCAGTTGGAGCCACCTGTCGTATCCTGAGGTGTAACTCAGACTTCGTTGCTGCCACGTTGGACCTTGGCAGCAGCAGCAGTGGGGGAGGAGCCAGGGGAGGAGCAGGTGAGGGACCAGGAGCAGGTGAGGGACCAGGAGCAGCGGCTCTCAGCAGGGAGGCGATGAACACTGGTTACTGCAGCGCTCTGCGCTCCTATGCCATGTGCACCAGGCGGATGGCAAGAGCATGTCGGGGAGACCTAGCGTACCACTCTGCAGTCCAGGGCATTGAAGACCTGCTGATCCAGCACCGCTGCCCCAGGGCGGGGCCCACTGCCCAGCCCCGCCCCCTCCCTCAGGGCACGCTGTCAGAAGACACATGTCTCTACGAGAGGAGCTTCTTTTCCAGAGAGGGGCATCTGCCGGAGTACCTGCACTGCAGCGTGTTTGGCGACCCGCACGTCAGAACCTTCAACAACGAATTCCAGACATGTGCCGTCCAGGGGGCGTGGCCTCTTATAGACAATGAGTTCCTGTACATACAGGCGACCAGCTCACCAATGGGCGGGGGGACGCAAGCAACGGCCCTGACCAGGGTGAGTCACTGAATCTCCAGTTGATCCTGAACTGTTTAGACCTGATCATGAAACCACCAATGAGTCTGGGATCAGGTCCAGTCCTGTCAGAACCTTTTTGACAGAGCTGGTTTCAGGGCAAGTTCAGGACTTAGAGAGGAAAAGAGTTCAGAATTGTTCAAAGTCCTTCGCCACGTGTGTGTGGTGCTGGAGGCAGGGCTTCTGTGGTCACATTAAACCCCCCAACCCTACTGAGCCTTAACCCTTGGTTCCTGTTAATTTTAAGATCCATCCAGCCTACTTTGTCCCCAAAACGGACATGCAGATAAGTGTTCATAAAATAATATTTTTTTAAAATGTTTTTAACTTTTTTGACTCAAATCTCTTAAACAACTTCAACCCTGACCATTAAAAAATAATAAATAAAAAATTCGATGTATTACCCTTTTTTTATGCCATTTTTTTTCACCATGTCATATTTATTGATAAAGTGTGCGTTCTAATCAGCTGAGTCTATTAGAGCGGAAAAACATGCCATTTTCTCCTCCTTTTCTGGAGCCTCGTCCTCTACCAAATCAAATGCGATCGGAATTATTTGTTCGCATTAAATTAATTTTATATATAGGCATATAAAATCAGAAGATATATGTAAGATAGGAATCATTTATAAGTGGTTATCCACCTCTAACCAAAATATGACCGTGATTACGCTGATTGTGCGCATATAAAGAATAACTGCATATTTGAGATGGGATATCTTCTCATCTAATGATCTGAAGGACCTGTTCATCCTCATGCATGTCCATCCACTTGCTTGAAGTTGAAATTGTCCAATTGTCCCCCTCTCTTTGTCCCACACTGCAGAACTTGGACGTCGGATTTTCGACTGTAAAAACTCCGCTCACGGCATGTCCGGTTATAATCATGGACACAGATTCTCGCCTGTGCACACACGCAGGAGCACACAAACTTTCCTTACACACATATCCCACTCTTAGATATCCATATCTAGTGGCATGTAAAGTTTCATTTATTTCTGTTGATGTTTAGTGGATGAATCAGCGCTTCAAACACTCTCAGTCCATGAATGAAGACGTGTGCGCGGCAGAGATGGGGTTAAAATGATGTGCTGGCTCAATCTGTTGTATCACTGGCGGAAAGTCAAATTTAGAGCCCTGCTGATCGACTGACTGCAAGAAAAGGTTGTAATATGTTGTTATGCTGCTATAAACACACGGTCAAAAAACGTGTTTTTAATGGAAGTCTATTGTCAGATTTGTGGACAAAGGAGGGTGGGTGGAGCTAAAATGTGGCCAAGGAGAACTACAGGTAACACAGAGTTTTTTTTTAATATGAAGAAAAATAAGAACTCTCACCAAATTTGATGCCCCAATCTTTAAAAATGTGACTGTCAGCTCAAAATAAGGAGGAAAAAATTACAAATGTCCTCAAAACGGACAGAGTAGAAACCGAGGGTTAAGGGAACATGCCAAAATCCGGTTCCTCAATGCGCCACCCTAAACCGCTGCTGACCAGCATAGACCCTGAAAACCTGTCCAATGTTCAGACCTTCATGTTTACTCGGTAACATGGCGTCATGACCTGGGTCTTTTACCAGGTCCTAGCTGAGTCATGTGGGTTCAGGTGGACTTGGCAAGGGTTTTCTTTGTTTTTACTGAGGTCCGTTTCCTGTGTGGCGTCCTCTCTCTCTCCTCAGGTCACCATCATATTTAAGAGCATGCGTCAGTGCATCGACCAGCAGCTCTACCAGGCCGAGCTGGACAACGTCCCCGCGGCATTCGCTGATGGCTCAGTGAGGAGCGGCGAGCGGCGGGGTCACCACAGCCTGACGGTACGGACTCAAAGTCCTGGTCGACACGTCGAGATCAGAGCGGCTCACATCGGGACGCTCCTGGTGGTGCATCAGAGTGGGCGGTCCCTCACCCTGTCCATCCGCTCTCCACGTGGCGTGGTAGAGGCCTTCGATCCAGAGCAGGACCTGCAGCTGTGCGTGTTGGGCTGCCCCTCATCACAGAGACTCAACACGCTCCGCCCACTGGCTTCAAAGTCCCCACCTCTCTCCACCCTCAGCGCTCAGGCTCACTGCGCCACCCTGCTTCCTGTCCAGGACGTTTACTTTCATGCCTGTGTGTTCGACCTGATCACCAGTGGGGACCTGAATTCCAGCATGGCAGTGGTCAATGCGCTCCAGGACGCTCAGGACATGATCCCAGACTCACAGACCATCCACCTCTTACCTGTAGACTCCGCCCTCCAGCATCAAGTCCACCTGAGCCCCCTGTTACTGCTGATACTGCTCAGCATGCTGGGAAGTCTGAGTGTGACCTGAAGCAGCCGCCAGATGAGAGGAGGCGGAGCTTCATGAGCGTCACTGACCCTCTGACCTCTGTGATATATGGGAAAGGTCAATGAACTCTCCTGTCCAATCAGGAAGGACCGTCACCCTGGGAGGACTGCAGCCCTTTATTTTGACTTGCAGGTGCATCATGGAGTGGGCGAAGCTTCCTGTCGATTATTCAGCACCAGTCTGAAACAATCACCCAGAACTCGTCCTCTCTCGGGTTGGACCTCCTCAAAGTCTGCTCCAGGAACCTGAATAAATACAGCCAAGAGCTCCCCTGTGGTCACGTGACGGGAACAGCTCCAACATGGCGTCCTGATGTGAGAACAGTGGCTTGAGATCAGAGCTGCTGAAGTGGCACTTTAACAAACACTGAATCGTCTGACAGACGACTCTGTTTGAGGACAGAAACTGCTGATTCGGGAGTTTCCTCAATAAAACCTGTAAATGTTGAAGTTCAGTGTCTTCTGTAAAAAAAACTCTGATTCATTAAAACTTTTATTTTAAAGCTGATTTTTCACTCATACCTAAAAAGAGACGGGTGACCAATCAGTGAGGTTCTCACCTCACAGCAGAGTCCTGCACACACATCTGTAATCCAGACCCACATATTCACACATAACCAGGTTTTTCATGATCCAGCACTTTTGGGGATCTGTACACGTGTAAAGGTCTAACCCTCCCAGGACTTGGGCTCCTTACTCTGCAGGTCATGAAGTCCATGCAGTGCCTAACCACGAATTTGGAACGGCTCCAATGCGGAACAGCGCTGATTTTCGCTGTCAATTCCTACCGGATCTGTTGATGGGGCGAATTTGGTGGTGGATTACGGACAGCATTAATCGCGAGAACTCACAAGAACCCGCAGATTTATGTTCAATTGCACGATAACGAGTTGTCTCTTTAAAAACAGAGACATAGACATATAAGAAGTAGATTGTGTCCTTTCAGAGGAGGAAATCTACTTCTAGACTTCTAGAATCAGCATCTCCTCATCCATGGTGTCATTGGGGTGAAATGACGTCTAAAAGCCTTTCACTTGTTTGTCTCCGCCCGTTTGCAAGGTGTGAAATACGATCCTCCTGAAACACGGAGAGTTTTATTTTGAAAAGAAGCCGGATGTATTATTTTGTGTCTGTGCCCAACTTCCTTTCCAGCACAGGTTAATCTGTTTATATCTGTTTTTATCTGGCATGCTCTGGCATCCTGAAAAAATAGAACTCTTGTGATCAGCTGTGGAGTCCGGCGATCCGCAGAGGGACGGAAAGAAGCCGGTGGAAATTGACACGTTAACTTGAATGGTTATGATCAGCTACGATCGAAGGATACGACCTTTTAGTAGACTTTCAGGATGCAGTGGAAATTGGGGGTCAGACTGGGACAGAGCACACCGAGCCTGAATTCCTAAAAATAAAACTTAAAAATTTTTTCTTGCTCTTTCTCCCTCCATCGTTATCTGTGCCATGCTCAGGAAGCACATACCCACAACTGCATAGCTGGTAATCGTTGGCCATTTTTTAGGCGGGAATGTTTGCTGACTGGCCGGGGCACGCTAAGTACGTTTCCATGACACTCGAGATAACTGAATTACTGCCTCACTCCGATTAAGACCAGACAACTGAAGTGCATGTAAACACCTTAGTCCGACTATAATCGGAGTTCTCAAACTCCGATTGGAGTCGGAGAACCTTGATTAAGACACCCAGATAATGTGATTGGAATTTGGTTTTCTCTACCATGTAACCAGCGTAGTCGGAGTATGATTGGACAGTGCATGTGCGCATGCGCCATGTCCCCGTAACCCTGGAACAAAAGCACCAGAGAAGAGGAGTAGCATGCATCTCATCTGCAGAAAAAGTAGCGCGTCCATCATGTAGGACATAAACAACGCTGTACGATGCTCCATCTTCTTGCTCCAAAATGCCCAGCAGCAGTTGTAGACACTTCTGACATCTGGCATGGACCTGCTGATGTTGTTGACAGTTGTATAGGGTCGGAAACAGCGCAGCTGAAAAGACCCATATCGCCCACTAGTTTTGGGGACAAGGACATGTTCACATCAATAATTCAATTTTCTCAGCTGCATGTATACGCGGATAAGAGAAGTCTGATTCAGCGAAAAAAACAAATTATGAGCTTAGTCCGATTAAACTGTGCATGTAAACATACTGAGTGTCATTTCAGGACTGGTGAGCTTTCTTTTTCTTGAATGACCTCGTGTCTGTAACCTCATCAGAGCTTTCTGATGTGTTCATGAAGCCAGTATCAGATTTTAGTACCAGGCTCTTTAAATCTACGCAGATTTATTTCCTGAATGAGAGCCGCTGTCTGCAGGCACTGCAGGCAGCCCGCTCAGACTTCATAGATGCTTTAGGAGCAGGCTGTGCCGTCTGAGTAATGACGTCTATAAGCTTTTATGTTTTCTAACACTGTAGTCTCGAGCACAAAGGTCAAGAAATTAAAGTGAAAGTGTCGAGGAACAGTGAAATACGGCGACTGTGCTTGATCGTTTCGAATCGAGGATGTTGGTGAATGAGCTGCAGCCGACCAAACGCAGAAAAACATGTTTACCAGATGTTGTAAACATGAAGCAACAGGAAAAAGAAAGACGATAAAATCAGTGGAGACTGAGACACTGAAGTTTGGAGACTTGGGTCAGCCATGAGCCACTCAGGGTACAAGCCCCTACAAACCCGACTCTTTCTCAGGAACCATGGTATTTACAGTTTCTGATATTAGTCACATCCAACCCTGGAAGAAGGATGAGGTAAGACACGTTCTTATTGGCTGAGAGAAAACAGCTGTGTGCCAACAGGATGAGGAATCGTTGCTGTTTGGGATTTCAGGATCAGATGACCTAATCAATCCAGACTTTACAGATAAAAGAGTCAATGAGTCATTTCTGTGAACACAGATTCATAACTGGGAATTTTTCCTTTTTTTTGTTGGCATTCAGGGCGGTTATGTAACTCACTACAGAGACTCTAACATGATTAAAGCTGAAATTCAACGGATGAGAAAATATTTAAACTATCTGTTACCACACAAGAAGATATACTATGGTCCATGAAGATACATGATGGTACTCTATAGCTGCGTTTCCGTTACATTTTTTCGCAAAATAAAAGCGATGTTCATCAAATTTCGACAAAGTACAATTGCAATTTGCGGGTGTTTCCATTGAATGGTGTTCAGTGCATAAGCGAGCTGTCTGCCTCTCGCGAGCCGTGTTTGGATGGCCGTTGCCTAGCAACAAGGTAAACTTCCTGCCCGTGCGGCCTCGTATTCCTCAAGCCTTTTTGCACACCAACATGGAGGAGATACAAAACATTTTGCGTTTTGGAGCAGCTATTTCTGTGACCATTACTGCTGTTGCCGCTGCTGTCATCAGAAGACGAAGGCAGCGGGTGATAATTCAAAGGCAAAGCCCGTATGTATGGTAGCGGACACGGATGAGGGATTTCTGGGAGAGGATCGTTAATGAGGAATTCACAGACGAATTGTGGATTCAAAACTTCAGGATGACCCGGGATACGTTCAATGAACTGTGATGCTATTGAGCCTCTTGTGGCACCTGCCATGTCAAGCCCCCGGGAGGCAGTTCCCACTCGGAAGCATGATCACATGACCCGCTACGTTACGTCCGGTGACGTAGAATTGCGAGAATAGTGTTTCCATTACACTTTTGCGATATACTTCTATATCGACACGTCTGAAAAACCACCTCATGAGAGCATAAAAACTTTTTAGCGATATTTGAGAGGCTTTTCGAAATTTAGGTGTTTCCATTACCAGTTTTCTATTGCGATATTTAGGTTTTGCGCAAATCTATGGGTAATGGAAACGCAGCTAATGATACCTTATAATACTTAATGATACATGATGGTACTCCATGATACCTTATAGTGCTTTATGATACACTGTGATACTTAAGAATAGTTAATGATACTGAATGGTTTGGATGCAAAACAAAAAGATACGAAAAGTACATGATCCAAAAAAATCTGTTACCACATAAAAGATATATTATAGTACATGAAAGTACTTTATAATATATTATAATAAACTTTGATACTCCATGATACTTTAGAATACATTATGATACTTTATAAAATACTTTATGATCCTTTATGATACTTTATTATACATGATGGTACATTGTGAGATTTTATGATACTCTAGGATACTTCATGATGTACTTTATGATATACTTTATGGTACTTTATGATATACTTTATGTAACTTAATGATACATTATGATACTTTATGTTACCTTTTAATACTCAATGATACCTAATGATACCAAATAATACTTAATGATACATTATGATACTTAATGATACATAATTATACTTTATGATATACTTTATGATACTATATGATATACTTTATACTTACTGATACTTAATGATACATTATGATACATGAGGATTCTCTATGATACTTTATGATACACTGATACTTAAGGATACATGATGACACAATAGGATACTTTATGATATACTTTATGATACTCTATGATACTTTATGATGTACTTAATGATACTTGATGATAGACTTTATGATACTCTATGAAAACAGCAGCAGGGGGTAACAGCTGTCAGTCAGGCCCGTCAGCTGCAGGGGGTGACAGGGAGACGTCCCTGTCACTGCTCCGCCACCAGGAAACGTTCCAGGATTAAAGGAGTGAAACGTTGGTGAATGGTGGTTCCTGGCTGATGACCCTGCAGCTGACCCATGGGCACCGGAGGAGGTGCGACCAGCAGCAATGCTTTGCAGGTGATTCCAGCTTCCTGTACATTAACTGAAGTTCTGGTAACCCAGTGACTACTGTGAACAGGGCAGTTGGAGTCCAGGGAAGACTGGAGGACATCCAGGACAGCAGGGAAAGACTGCACCGGGAGTGGGCGGCTAGTTACCCAACCCACTAGTCCCTTCAGACGAGGGACACCCAAACTCAACTACGAAGAACACAAAGAGAAAACAACCCGCAGGCCCTCCGAGAGGCGGGATGAAAGATGGGCCTAACATGACGGACAACACGGTAACGACAGCAATGGAAACAGACAAGGAGAAGAACACCAGAACTCCAGGAAATGAGGAGAAAATCCTCCGGAAGTGTGCATGCGGATGGGAAAAAGAGACCACGTTTAGGGGGTTGCGAATCCACCAGGGGAAGGCAAAGTGTGGTCAGAAAGGCCAACAGCAACCTTGCACTGCTTTGGCAGGTGAGACAAGTGGGACCGAAAGCCAGGGGAAAAACCACAGTGCCAATGGACCCAAAGTTGCACAAGGCATAGATGTCACAGAGGAAGAAGGCCCAATGGTGGAGGGTGAGCCCCCACGTGAGCACCAAAACCCAGTCGCAACCAACTCACACAGGACAGAGCCTCAAGCAGAGACCAAGAAACCAACCAGAAGGAGTAAGCTCAAGTGGCCGAAATCAAACGAGACAGAGGCATGGAGAACGCTGGACACTGACCTGGTAAAGGCGCTGGAGGCATCCTTGCATGGAGGGGTGGAAGCCAAGCTTAACCAGTTCGGGGACATCCTATACCAGGCCTGCAGCGACAGGTTCAGTGAAGTAACCCCCAGCCAAAGGACCACACAAAGAGAGAAGGGAAGGAGGGAGATGGAGATCGACCACCTTGTGCGAAGGCGCAGACAACTCCGCAAGAACTGGAGGAAGGCAACACTGGAGGAGAAAGAGGGTCTGAAAGCCCTTTGGGAGGAGATCAGGCAAAGACTCTCCAGGCTCCGCCGAGCAGAACGTATCCGCAAGCGCAGCAAACGGAAACAAAAAGAACGAGCCAGCTTCTTCAAAGACCCCTTTAAGCATGCCAGACAGCTGCTGGAGGAGAAGAAGAGCGGGAAGCTCGAAACCACCAGGGAGCAACTTGAACAGCATGTCAGCGGGCAATACAGCGACCCTGCAAGGAACGTCCCACTAGGAACACCTGGGTATGTACCACGACCCGCACCACCGAGTGCTGAGTTCAACACCATGCCCCCAAGCTCAGTGAAGTCAGGCAAATCGTGAAGAAGGCAAGGTCTTCATCATCACCTGACCCCAATGGAGTCCCTTATAAGCTCTATAAGAACTGTCCCAAGGTGCTAGAGCTGCTATGGTACCTTATGAGAACAGCCTGGAAAAAGCAGGTAATTCCATCAGAGTGGCAGAGAGCTGTTGCGGTCTTCATCCCCAAAGAAGAGAACTCCAAAGACATCAGCCAGTTTAGGAACATCGCACTACTGAACGTAGAAGGGAAGATTTTCTTCTCAGTCTTGGCCAGAAGGATGACCAACTACCTGCTAGAGAATGGCTATATAGACACCAACTGCCAGAAAGCGGGAGTCCCAGGCTTTCCAGGGTGTGTAGAGCACTCCACAATGATCTGGGACCAGATCCAGAAGGCCAAGCGGGAGAAGAGTGACCTGCATGTTGTCTGGCTTGATCTTGCCAACGCGTATGGATCAGTCCCACACAAGCTGATCAACTACGCCATGGAGTTCTTCGACATACCTTCCTGCATCAAGAACATCGTAGCATCCTACTTCAATGACCTGCAGATGTGCTTTAGCCTCCAAGACTTCACCACCGGTTGGCATCGGCTCGAGGTAGGAATCGCTATGGGTTGTGCAATCTCTCCAATTCTATTTGTGGCTGCCTTCGAGGTTATCCTCATCGGAGCAAGACAGATGGTTGGAGGGATGAAATTACCATCCGGGCAGAGACTACCCCCGTTGAGGTCCTACATGGACGACGTCACCAGCCTCCTTCAGACAGCAGCATGTACATCGAGACTGCTGAAAAGAATGGATGAGCTGATGTCGTGGGCACGAATGAAGATCAAGCCCTCAAAATCACGGAGCCTGTCCCTCAGAAGAGGAGTCCGAAGCGACAGTACCATCTTCGTCGTAGGGGGAGAGAAAATCCCACTCCTCTCTGAGCAACCCATTAGAAGCCTTGGCAGACAGTACACTGCAGAGCTCTCGGACAAACAGATGGGAAGAAGCGTCATGAAGCAGCTGTCAGAAGGACTGGCAAAGATCGACCGAAGCCAGCTCCCTGGGAAGTTCAAAGTCTGGTGCTACCAGTTCACACTCTACAGGAGGGTGATGTGGCCGCTGAAAATGAGTGAGATCCCCTCATCCACTGCAAGTAAGATGGATGGAAAAGCCAACTCATTCATCCGAAAGTGGTTGGGGCTGCCACGGTGCCTCTCTGAAACTGGCCTCTTTGGAAGGAACACACTACAGCTGCCGTTGCAATCAATCAGTTTGGGATACATGCAGGAAAAGACCAGGCTTGTCCTCGAACTGAGAGAGTCCACCGACCAGACTGTACAGAACGCAAACGCCAAGGTTCCCACAGGCCGGAAGTGGAACGCCAAAACTGAAGTCGACCGAGCCATTGGTCGACTGCAACATCAAGAGATTGTCGGCAGAGTCCAGGCAGGAAGAGCTGGACTAGGGTGGGGAAAAGCGCCACGGTTCTGGTCCAAGGCCAGCCGCAAAGAGAGGAAGGAGTTGGTGGTGGCGGAGGTGACAAGGACGGAGGAAGAGCGCTACAAGATCAAGGCCGTGTCGCAGGGCCGACAGGGTAGCTGGACAACCTGGGAAGGAGTAGCCAACAGAAACATCAGGTGGGCAGACCTATGGAAGATCCCACAGGCAAGACTCAGCTTCCTTGTCCGCTCAACCTACGACACGCTTCCCTGTCCGCGGAACCTCCACCAGTGGTTCGGGAGTGAGGAGAGCTGCCCACCCTGCAGTGAGCCTAACGCAAGCCTTCAGCACATCTTGTCAGGCTGCAAGATCGCACTCTCCCAAGGACGCTACAGGTGGCGCCACGACCAGGTCCTGAGGAAGCTGGCTGAGGTGCTAGAGGGGCAGCGACAGGGCAACAAAGGGTCACCACCAGTAGGGAACCACATCAGCTTTGTCACGGAGGGTGGGGGAAGAAGAAACACCAGGCCAAGAGAAACATCCAGGCCGTTTGCCCCCGACCAGGAGTGGGACATGAGGGTCGACCTAGACAGACAGCTCCGCTTTCCCACTGAGATCACCACCACACCTCTCCGGCCTGACATAGTGGTGTGGTCCACCAAGGCGAAATCCGTACACCTCATCGAACTCACGGTGCCAATGGAGGAGGGGATTGAGGCCGCCTTCGAACGGAAGAAGGCCAAGTACTCCGACCTTGCCGCTGAGTGCCGGGAGGCTGGCTGGAGGACCACCATCTACCCAGTGGAGGTCGGATGCCGAGGCTTTGTGGGGATGTCAACCATACGCTTCTTGAAGGATGCAGGAGTGACCGGAGGAAACCTCAAGAAAGCAACCAAAGAGCTTGCAGAGGAGGCTGAGAAGGGGAGCTTTTGGCTTTGGCTGAGGAGGAAGGACAAGTGCTGGGGAAAGAACACCTAACCCCAAAAACAGCAGCAGGGGGTAACAGCTGTCAGTCAGGCCCGTCAGCTGCAGGGGGTGACAGGGAGACGTCCCTGTCACTGCTCCGCCACCAGGAAACGTTCCAGGATTAAAGGAGTGAAACGTTGGTGAATGGTGGTTCCTGGCTGATGACCCTGCAGCTGACCCATGGGCACCGGAGGAGGTGCGACCAGCAGCAATGCTTTGCAGGTGATTCCAGCTTCCTGTACATTAACTGAATACTTAATGATACTTTATGATACTCTATGATACTTAATAATACTTAATGATACTTTATGATACTTCATGATATTTAATAATACTTATGATACTATATGATACTTATAATACTAAATGATACATTATGATACTTTATGATGTACTTCATGATACCTTATGATACTTAATTATACTTAATGATACATTATGATACACTGATACTTTGTGATACATCATAATACATTATGATACTTAAGATACATCATGATACACTGTGATACTTTATGATATCTAATGATACAATATTATACTGTATGATTGGGATACAAAACAAAAAACATGGTAAGATATGATAAGACACAATAAACTCCAGTACCATTCTATTATAGGATATGATTCAATACAGTTAAGTACAGTTTAATACAATGGGCTCTATTTTTGTGCTTCGCCGGTGAGGTGGTGCAGGCGCGGCGTAAGTCAGGTCCGCTTCACCGAGAAGGCATTCCCAAGCACAATTCGGTATTTTGGTGAATGCCGCAGCCCCCCTCCCTAATTCAGCTCCTCCCAGCGGCGTAAGTCGTAGCGAGGGAGGAGAGAGGGTGTGGAGTGGGTTTAACACAGCCGAGACCTGTATCGACCAATAACATAAGCTCCTCTCCTCGCCTTTAAATCTGCCACCAGCAAGGCGTATTACAATTTTCGTAGTCAAAGAGATCAAGAGATGCCACACAATGGCAACAGAAGGCAGCCCCTCAACAAGTGTCGCTGTAAGCGCTGCAGAGGGCGTCCTGCACACTGTCTCATATAAGCACAGATGGATTTGGTGTGTGTAATTTTGTACCTACTGGAAAGACAAACATCCTTTTCCACAAATAAAGACACTCACATAAAGTTGCATATATTCAACCCTCACGTAACAAAGGTGCGTTGTGCGCACAGATCACAACATAAATTCCAATAATGGCATTACAATCGGAACCATCTGTGCGTAAATGACACATCGTGCTCCGTGGCCTGGCACTTTCTTTCATTGATGTTGGCATATAAAATAAATCTGGCTCACTGAATATTATAATATTTGTATGTCTGATCTGATCATCATCTGATCACTGATGGGGAGAGGACACGGAGACATGTCCAGGTCGAGCTGCGTGAGAAATAAGAGGAAGAGGAAGAAAGAAAAGGAGGGAGACAATTTACATATCTTGTTAACTTAATCAAGTGTGTCTATTTACTAGATATTTAATTTAATTCAATGCGGTTTCAGCTGTGTTGATTCAGTCAGGTTGTGTGTCCAAACGTGTGCCAAACGCGCTCATCAGAACAGATATAGATCAAAATCTAAATGTATGTGCTGACTCAGATTATTGATTATTTATTGCACTGAAATGTGCCTGACACTGTGGAAACCTGCCGGTGAGGCATCGGTGACGTATACGCACTACGCCGCCGGTCTACGAAAATAACACTAGACCAGCTGCGCTCCACCTGTGCTGAAAGCTGACCAAGTTTGAATCGGCGAGCTTTCAGCGCACTTTACACTTCAGCGGCGAGCACGAAAATGTCACTGCGCCAGCTGATTCTGTCGACACCTCCCCTTGCCATGCCACCACGCCCAGCTTGGCGGACCTCGGTGCACCTCAGTCCACGAAAATACCAAACTGGCTGTACGCTGGGCCCCGCCAGATGAAAATACACGAAAATAGAGCGTGATGTCTTATTATGTATATACACAAGGATACATTATGATGAAGGTATGATATGCAATATAAGCAATGCAAAATGATACAAAAGTAATCAATACTACACATTATCATAGAATACAATAAGATCTACTATGATACAGTACAATGACAGACATACAATACAGTGATAGTGTATAAAATGATACGATACAAATGGGTATAAAATGATATGAGCTCGTATGTAAGTGGACACAGTATCTTAATGTGTTTTAGTGAATCACAGTTCAATCCGGTTGATACCTGTTCCTGTCAGGGGGCATTTCTGAGGTTCAGCACAGTCCAGGCCGGTCCTCTACTAAACTATGAAACAGTTGGGTTCATGTTTCTGTTGTTCTCTGACTCAGCCGCCTCCTCCTCCTCTGTTGTATTAATAACTGTCTTTTGTGTATAAGTAGAAACATGAACCTTTGGATTTCGCTGCAGGCTGTAAGGAAGTCATGTGAATTCCTATTTCGACATTCGCCCATGTGTTTTGGTGCGTGTTGTGCAACAGTCTTCCACTGAAGTGGGTAAGAAATGTGGAAAGTGATGACACTGCATACCTTCGGTCTAATTAAAGTTTCTTTCTCTTGTCCTGCAGGTACAGGAGACTGTGTCATCCCCATGTTCGCCCACCCCCGTGTTTGCCAACCCCCATGTTTGCAGTTTGACTAATAACCTTCATGTGTGCCTCCATGAAAACCAGGAAAGTCCTTTATCAACCTGCACAAGACAAACACAGCTGGATTCACAGTTTCCAATAAAAACACAAATAAAGTCTTTAAATCAACATTTTCACATCAGAGGTGAGATGTCTGTGAGGGTCTCATGGTGTCCGAGTGAATGAGCATCGTCTCTAACGTGGTCTCTAAGAGCACAGAGGAGGGCTGCTGTGGCTGCTGCTGCTCTGTGGTTGTTGACTGGCTGTAAATCTGTGGTATGGTTTCCATCAGCTCTCATGACTCAGTGAATCACAGTTCAACAGAAATCTGATGGACGAGGATGAAGATAATTTCTGGGATCTTCTGTATAATCGCATGAGTTTAATCACTTTCATATTTTTATATTGAGGTCACTGGTGCTGTTCTTTTTAATTTACCTCTGGGTTTAATAAAGTATCTATCTATCTATCTATCTATCTATCTATCTATCTATCTATCACTGTGTAATAAGAAAAGAGAGCATGTGTACATCTGCTTCTGGTTAAAAAGATCCAGACTGACAAGATGGTGATTGCTAATCAGCCTGACAGAGTGCTGATCAATAGGTGATTGATGTAGAAATTAGGACGATAGCAACATGAGGAAGAAGACCATGAGAAGAGCTGGATGTATAAGATAAATACTTTTAATCCTATAATCTGGACAGTGTGAAGAGCTCACAGATAAATCAGCTTTGAGATCATCCTGACAGGTTTCCATGGATCAGCAGAAGGTTGCATCAAACCTGACTAATGAAATAATGATCAGGGGCCAAGAATGAGAGTAATGAGCCTGGGGTCATTCCAGGTCACTGACAGCGAAAAAAACCACACCTTCCACCCACAGGTGAATGACAGCAGCACCTGAGGGAAGTTTCAGTTTCTGTCTGTACACAATGAGGGGGGGGGGGTCGGTCCACTTTTACATGTGAAAAAGTTTGAATAGGTGATTAAAAAATCATTTTAACTCAGCCATGATCGGACTCTCATTTGATGTCAAGATTTTGGAGTTTCCCCCCTGCGGGACCATTAAAGGAACATCTTAACTTATCTGAGGATTAAAATCAGGAGAGTGAAGATGATGAGGAGGATGATGGTGGTGGTGATGATGAAAGGTGGAGTCTGGTGATGAAGGTGCAGGGACACACCTTCAGTCTGACTCAACTCTGAGAGGTTCTGAGAGGTACAGACTGACAACAAACCTTCTGAGAAAAACCCGGCTCTGCTTTCTCAGAACACTCTGATGAAGGAGGATAAATACCTGCAGGAGGAGGCTGCACTCAGGACAGTCCCATCAGGACCAGGGCCGCATCCACACCAGACTGCACCACCGACCAGGAACCAGGAACCAGGCCTGATCCACACCAGACTGAAGAAGACAAGTGAGTTTTTATATTGAACTTATTTGGTGTTTTTTACAGTAACGATATTTGACAGTGATGATGGAGAGCTTACTAAAGATCAGTCAGAGTCAGAGGAAGGTGAGACTAAAGAGTGAAGATCTTCATCAACTTCTCAGCTTCACTGAGGAACACAAACAGCTTAGACACACTCACCCTGTGAACTATGAGACAGAGAGTTCAGATGATTTTCTCTTGCTTTTATTTTGATATTTCTCAGTGTCACATAGTAAAGATACTTTCGTCATGTGCTGTGAAAACATACTTTTATTTTGAAACAGCCTGTTTGTTACTCTAAGTAGGACTTAAGTAGGAATATATATGTATATATATATATAAGTGTGTGTATATATATATTTATATATATATATACACATATATATATGAATATATATATGTGTGTGTCTATATATAGACACACATGTATGTATGTATAAATGTGTGTGTCTATATATATAGACACATACATATATATGTATATGTGTGTGTATATATATATATATATATATATATTTATATATACACACATATGTATGTATGTATGTATGTATGTATGTGTGTGTGTATATATATTGATACATATATAACATGTATACACATATGTATATATATATATGTGTGTGTGTGTGTGTATAAATATACATATTTTTCGTATATATTTATTCATTCATTCATTCATTTATAAGCCATCAGTCCAAAATCAGTGTACATGTCTCTAAGTTTTAAATGGATCTTCCTGGTCTGTAATAAAACTCTCTCCTCTTTCTGTTGAAGTGCATTGTGGGTGCATGTTTGTGGTGCTTCTAGCACTGTGGAAGGAGCTTGCATCAGTTCCCATTAAGACTTTTGAGATAACAGATCCTGACATGCAGAGTATAATCCAGAGCCTGCAGGAGGCGCTAAGGATCTACGACAGTGACCTGAAACAGAAGGTGAGAGTCTCTCTGCAGCTTCTCACCAAACTCCATTTAAAAAACTTGATAATCACTCTTTGTGTTGGTGTTTGTCTGTGTAGAGCATCCTGACCCCACTGGCCACCCTGCCCTGCACTGAGGCTGTCTATCAGCTGGAACAGGTAGGTACACTACCTCTGCTGCCTGGCCCCCTACAGGCCACAGAGTTTAAGAAAAGAGAGAGAGAATAAAGTTGAAAAACATTAGTCCTCATGTGTTTTACCTGGTTTAAATCAAGTGTTTTCTGAATTGGGTTTGGTGCAGATCTCAGATGTGGCCCGGAGACTGTCTCACTATCCAGTGTGTGCAAGGCAGGTCATGGACAACAAAGACCTGTGCAACGTCGTCAAGCTAAACAATGACCTGCTGCAACACCTGGTGAGTCTCTGCACTCTGATTGGTCAATGAGACTGTTGAATAAACAGAAACATCTTGTAGTACTTTTGTTCTGAGGGAGACATGTCTGAAACGTGTGTGTGTGTATGTGTGTGTTTCAGGAGGGATCATATCAGGACTCTGCAGACTGCTCCTCCTCCTCTTCCTCCTCCCCCTCCTCTCAGGTCACAGACTTTGACACTCTTCGTGAGTCAGTTCAGTGCTTTCACTGCTGGATCCAGCAGGTGGAGGCGCTGCGCAGATAACACACACCTGGACTGACACACATACTCACCTGAACCAGACCAGGACCAGGTCCTCTTGAGGTCCGTTTAGGGTGTGAGTCCCCACTTTGTGCTATAAACCAGAATTGTGCAGACTGTGAAAAATGCAGGTCAGTTTATACAGTTTGTCAGCAGGTGGCGCTGCAGCTAAATCAAAGATGTAGCTTTTGAACATCAATTAAATCAGGGATGAAAAAATTCTAATCTAATCGGAACAGTTTGGTCCAGTGTTTGAGATTTGATTATAGTTAAGGTCTTTCAAATATAATCCCAACACTTTCAAAATAAAAGTCCAGTTATAAGTTATAGAGACTAACACACTCATCTCACACATTTTGAAAATGTTTCACAGTTTTTCCAACATATAATCATGTTCCCTCCCTTTCACTTAAGTCTGTTTTTAAAAGGTTCTTTTGTCTATGACAAGATTTTTCATTATTGCAAAATCTTGAATTGACATCCTTGAACTCAGGTCTCTACCTAGTCATTTTTTTAAATAAATATATTTGTAAATCTTATATGTATACATATATATATATATATATATATATATATGTACATATATATATATATATATATATATATACCAAAGTTTACTTTTAGTTGATTTGCTCTGTGGCTCTTCTTTAATTGTTTATATTTTATCTCATATTTTTGTGTGTTGTAAGCCTCTGTGATTTATTTATGATGCACTTCTGGATCCAGACACAGGATGGCGCCATTGATATACTTTTGATAAAAAGAAAACCTCCATCAGCTCTCCATCTGTATCTGATTACTTGTTTCTAGCTCAGGTGTTTTTTAAATAAAGATTTTAATTAAAAAGTGAAAATATAAAGTCTCTTATGTTTTGCTGATAACTGGGCTGAGCTTGGCGCCCCCCACAGGCAGTGTCGGGGATGACAGGAGAGCATCTTTTCTTATCCCTCATCTGTTTGTTACATCTTTGGTCTTAAATGATATTTATTCCCCCAATTTCATGACGGTCAGGACGCTGTGTGAGATGTTGATGAAAACTGCATTTGATTATTAATAAAATTATTTAAAACTGATATAAATTTAAAGAAGCACATGACAAGAAACAATTATAAAACTGAAAAAGTCAACATCATGAGAGACTGCGTGAGCTGACAGTTCACCTCTTTCAGAATAAAGTTCATCATCTACAGTTTATAATCTCATTCAAAAAAATCCTGGACAGCAAAAGTGACAGTAATGATCACATCAAGTTTATAACGAGTTTATAACACTTAGCTGGACTTTTGGATATCTGTTCCATTCTGAGCTTTGTTCAAGTCGTTTTTTAATTAAACATCGGAAAAGAAAAAGAAATAAAACTCTAAATATAAAACAATGAAACTTCAGTTTTATTCAGATTAGCAGATTTCATTGTTGATTGTTGGTAATAAAGTGAAGATCGTAAACAGGCTCTGGGTAGTCATGGAGATGACCTGGGTGGGCGGGGTCTGTGTAACCATCATTATAGTCGGTGTAACCGTAATTGTGCTCTCCATTTGTCAGGTGGTCTTCGAGGGTGTGGTTTAAAGGGGCGTGGTCAGCATCCACTGGAGGACTGTTTTTCCAGTTGTTTTTTCGACCAATCGTGTTGTACAGACTCGCTGCCAGGGCTAACTGGATCACCTGCAAGAGTCCGATGAAAACAGACCAGGTGAGCCTCGATTTTTAAAAACCAGCATATTTGTTCGTCACAATTTGTCGATGCTTTTAAGACACACTTAGAACACACTCTCCTCCAGTCAGTGTTGGTGCCTGTTGGCGCCCCCTGGAGGCTGCTCAGATTATTGCATGTTTATATCAGAATTTGTTACCTGGATAAATATAAGGCTGAAGCCCATGACCGTGATAGTGAGCAAGTTTTGATGCACCCAATCCTCGACTCTACCTTTGCATCCCTGAAATAAACAAAAACATGAATAATCACGGAAAAAATTCACAGCTGGTAATATTACATAAACAAAAAATATATAAATATATGTATAACCAAATATAACAAAATAGATATAAAATATTAACAAAATACAAACAAAATTATGACAAAATATTTACAAACTATAAACAATTATAACAAAATATCAAAGAAAATATAAACAAAATATTAACAATATAAACAAATATAGACAAAATATAAACCAAATACAAACAAATATAACAAAATATCACTAAAATAACTAAATATTAACAAAATATTAACAAATACAAACAAATATAGACAAAATATAAACAAAATGTAACAAAATATTATCTAAATATAAACTAAATATTAACAAATACAACAAAATATAAACAAAATATAAAAAATATAGACAAAATTTAAACAAAACTTAAAATTTTTAAAAAAAATTATATTAACAACACATTTACCAGTGGTGGCCGGTAAACGAGGGCGCTGCGGGCAGAGCCCCGCCTGAGCTTCATGAGCAAAAAGAGCTGTCTGCTGTCTCCCTGAAAATTATTCTCAAAATAAGGGAATGGTGCTATTTATTAATCATTCCATTAAATGCTTATTTCAGTAGCGATCTCTCCACCGCTCGGGGCGGACTCAAAACGTCTGTTGTCTCAGATCACAGTTGTGCTTAAGCGTTAGGGGCTCTATGAGCCAGCGCCCAAGCTTTCTGCGCTCTCACACATGCTCAGATCACAGTTCTGCATTAAAAGGTTAGTTTATCCCAGTCAAATAAAAAAAAATCCTTAAGGGGCGCCAGGGACGAGCGCTCAAGCGTCCCTAATTTGAATGACGTAAGCACGTTCATAACCAGATTGGTCACAAATGGATGCAATGCTACAATGTGCATCTGACGTAGCTAGCTGCTCTACTCAGAGCCAGTCCGCCCCTCACTCTGCACTTGGCTGCTAAGGACAGAGGACGTGGGAATGGTGACTGCTAACCCCCTACCAAGTGATTTACCGGAGAACGCTGCACTGTCCATCAAGTAGGTCCTGTTTGAGAGGAGAACCCTGCAGGACTAACTAAAGCTGGAAGAGCTCGGTCCGGATTGACCAGCAAGTGACCACCGAGAAGAGCAGACAATATACGCAGACATTTTCAAGAGCATGGTATGCATGCAAAGCATGGCTAACTGGAAGTCTGAAGAGTAAGGCCCTGTTTTGTTTCCCGTTAATGGTGATAAAAAGAAATTATAAAGCTGGCAAAATAAAATTTCGGCTGCTGAAACAGTCAATCAGCAAAATCTGTTTGTAGAAAAGTAGAGTATATAAAGATTAAAACCTAATATAAATAAAGAATGAAAAAATAAAGATTGAGGATGGGGAGTTGGCAGTGACATGATGACTACAAATCCTGCCCCTGATAGTGTTTTGCAGATATTCCACTGTAGTTCCAAGACAACCAAATGTGAGACTGGACGATGATCTTGTATGTCTGCAAGACTATCTTGTACAGATTTATGTCGGTGCCAAGCATGTGAGAATGCTTCAAAGGAAACAGAAGAAAGAGCTGTATGGGATGATGACTCTGATAAAAGTGATGCGTAATATACGCACCATGTCACCATGTACAATTTGTTTCGTCTAAAGGATTGCTACACTGAGATTTGAGATTTTTATTATTTTTATATTTGTTCTACATTTGTCTGCATTTGTATTTTGATCTTTATTTTCATATTCTGGAGGGATTGATAAATGTCAGATGATTTGACACTAGTGGTGTGTCGGTCTTGAATGAACGGATCAAAAGAACTAGTTCTTTTTGGTGAACGAAATGAACTAGTTCTCCCCCCCAAATGACCCGTTCAGTCCGTTCAGTTCTTTTGATTGGCTGAAGAGGGACTGCTTGCCTGTCTTATCCTATCGTCACGCCTCGTTCTGTGTGTGGGTGGGGCTTAGAGAAGCAGCAGCAGTACTACTGAGCTGACTGAAAGACCGGGATGACCGAGTTGACTGAAAGAACGGGTCAAATGAACGAAAGACCAAGTTGAACGAAAGACCGAGTTGAACGAAAGACCCAGATGAATGAACGAGTTGACTGAAAGACAGAGTGAACAAAAGATCCAGACGATGAACGAGTTGACTGAAAGACCGAGTGAACGAAAGACCCAGACGGATGAACAAGTTGACTGAAATACCGAGTGAACGAAAGATCCAGACGATGAACGAGTTGACTGAAAGACCGAGTGAACGAAAGATCCAGACGATGAATGAGATAACTGAAAGACCAAGTGAACGAAAGATCCAGACGGTGAACGAGTTGACTGAAAGACTGTGTTGACTGGCCGCCGACGAGCCGACAGCCGAGCCCGAGCGAGCAGGACAGTCACACACACACAAAGGCACACAGCTGCTGCTGCAGCCAGAGGCAGAGAGACAACTATTAATACGCATTTGCACTGTCTGTTGACACTTTGTACTTTTTATTATTGTTTTTAATGCACCTCAAAATAATAAAAACCATTAAAAACCTTATATATTTTGTTACTCCTAGAGGAGAAAGCTGGTGGTTGCTCAGGTTCGGCAACAAGAGGAGGCAAACAGATGCGCGACAGCAGTAGCACAGTCCAAACAGGGACAGTGGACCAGCTGGGAAAACCTGGAGCATCGTAAGCTCGCATGGAAGGATCTTTGGGAAATGGAAGGAAGCCAAATCAGCTTCATCATCAGAGCCACCTATGATGTTCTTCCCACACCCAAAAACCTAAAACAATGGTTTGGAGAAGATCCTTCTTGTGCACTCTGTCAAACACCTGCAACACTGAGTCACATCCTCACCGTCTGTAAAACCAGTCTGTCCCAAGGCCGCTACACCTGGAGACACAACCAGGTCCTAAGACAACTGCCGATCACTCTGGAAGGAAGGAGAACAACCATCAATGCCCTCCCTCCACCAATGCCTAGACGCCCAAACACCACCCCATTTGTAAGAGCAGGACAACCACCGGCAAAACCATCTGCAAGAGTGGAGGCAACCCTTCTAGACTCTGCCCGGGACTGGAGGATGCAGGTTGACCTAGACCAAAAACTCATCTTTCCGCCTGAGATCCTTCCAACTAGCCTCAGGCCGGACCTGGTCTTGTGGTCAACCACCCAGAAGGTTGCGTTCATCATTGAATTAACTGTACCGTGGGAGGCAGCAGTTGGTGAAGCATATGAGCGCAAACGACTGAAGTATGCAGACATAGCAGCCGAGGCAGAGAAGCGCGGCTGGAGGGCCCAGGTGCTTCCGGTGGAGGTCGGGTGCAGAGGCTTCGTTGCAACATCCACAACCAAGCTTCTGAAGAGATTGGGAGTACGAGGACAGGCCTTCCGACGAGCCATCAAATCAATATCAGAGGCTGCCGAACGAAGCAGCAGATGGCTCTGGATCAAGAGAAAGGACTCCACCTGGGCTGCAAAATGACCACCTGGGGTAAAAGCAGAGGGGGGCACACCTGGGACGCCAGGTGTCGCCGTTGAGCCCCCTGGAGGTGTCGTGGGCCTATCAATGAAACACCAGTGAAGGGGGGTGCCCACCTGAAGACCCCAGTGAAGCTTTTACCCCCCCCCACTCAATTCCAAGTGCTGATATAAGGGATTGTAATAACTAGTCCTATGAGCTCAACTGATAAGCTGGAGAAATCCAGTGACTGCTGTGAAAGGGCAGCTGACAACTAGGGAAAGACCATGTGACGGCGTGGAAAGACAGCTGACAGGAGGGAAAGACCCCAACGGGGCTGTCACGGACTAGCTATCCGTGATGGCAGGCTCCGTCGCTTGGCAAGTAGACAAAGGCCACCCCCCATTGCTATGAAAAGTTTAAAGAGGAAAACACCCCTAGAGTCTGCGAGAGCGGGGGCGGAAGATGACTCATCGGCTGACAACCCGGTAACTGACCCTGGAATGAACACGACAACGAACCAGATAATCGGCACAGAACAAGCAACAACATCGGCTGAAGGACAAGAGCGCCAAGTATGTAGCTGTGGCTGGTCCAAAGTAACCTCCATCAGAGGCCTAAAAATACACCAAGGCCGGATGAAGTGCGTGAAGAAAACGAGGCCAGGACCTCGCATTGACCAATATCTTCTGAGAGAAAGGTCAAGTCAGGCGAGTGAAGCTCAGCGGCAGGATGTAACCCACAGTCCACTGAGCATCAGTACCCCAGAGGCTGAGAATAATTCAAGCACAACATCAGAGAACTTGGAACCCAGCCACTTGCAACCTGCTTTGGAGAAGAACATGCAAGGCCACAGACCTCATGTGAAGTGGCCAAAGTCCAGCAGCAAGAAAGAGTGGGCTACAATTGATGCAGACCTGATCAAGATCTTGGACGGAGTCAAAGGAACAGTGGAGAAGAAACTGGAGAAAATGGGAGACCTGATCTACTCATATGGAGCAGAAAGATTTGGAGCAAAAGAGACAGGGAAGAAGAATATGCCACCAACAACCCCTCCCAAGTCCAGAAGGCAGAAAAAAATCGAGTGCCTGGTTAAAGAGAGAAGGGAATTGAGGAAACAATGGAAGAGAGCCTCAATGGAGGAAAGAGTGGGCATTGACCTCCTGCAAACAGACCTAAAGGGACGCCTGGGAAGATTGCGGAGAGCTGAAAACCTCAGGACTCGACGCAAGAGGAAGGAAAGGGCGAGAACATCCTTCTACAAGGACCCCTTCAGATTTGTAAAAGGACTCTTCACTAAGGAAAAAAGCGGGTCACTTAAGGTGCCAAAGAGGGAGTTGGAAGATCACCTGAAAACCACTCACACAGACAGCCAAAGATTTGAACAAAGGGAGATACCATCAGGCATGCCACCAATTCCTCTACCAGAACACCAGCTGGATGACAGTCCTCCAAAGTGGAGCGAGGTCGAGGAAGCAGTGAGGAAGGCAAGGGCAGCTTCAGCTCCAGGACCAAATGGAGTTCCATATCGGCTGTATAAAAACTCCCCAAACATCTTACGCTTCCTGTGGAGGCAAATGAAGGTGATGTGGACGAAGCAAACCATTCCAAAAGCATGGCGTAGAGCTGGAGGAGTGGTAATCCCCAAGGAGAAGGATGCCTCCAACATCGATCAATTCCGGCAAATCAACCTGTTGAACGTGGAAGGGAAGGTCTTTTTTAGCATCGTTGCAAAAAGGATGACAACATACCTGAAGCAAAACAACCTGATTGATACATCTGTGCAGAAAGCTGGAATACCTGGGTTTTCAGGATGCTTGGAACATACAAGCATGATATGGCACCAAATCCAATCTGCCAAAAGGGAAGGAAGGGACCTGCACGTCCTATTTCTGGACCTAGCCAACGCCTTTGGATCCGTCCCTCATTCTCTGATCTGGACAGCTTTCAACTTCTTCCACATCCCAAGTACCATCACAAACCTGGTGAGAAACTACTTCCAAGATCTGCAATTCTGTGTCAAAACAACAGAATATACAACATCATGGCAATCTTTGGAAGTGGGAATAATGGCTGGATGCACTATCTCCCCACTAGCCTTCACCATGGCAATGGAAGTGATAATTCGAGCTTCCAAATGGGTTGTGGGTGGAGAACGTCTGAAGTGTGGCCAGCGTCTCCCTCCCATTCGCGCTTACATGGATGACATTACCACCCTGACCTCAACCGTTGCATGCACCAAACATCTGCTAGGAAAGCTTCATGCCAACATCACATGGGCACGGATGAAGTTCAAACCAAGCAAATCCAGGAGCATATCCATCGTCAGGGGGAGACTCACAGACCAGAGGTTCCACATCAAGGACACACCCATTCCATTGGTGTCTGAACTGCCAGTCAAGAGCCTAGGGCGACTATACAACGCACATCTCAAAGACTCGGACCAGAGTGATCAGCTGAGGGAAGAAACCATCAAAGGCCTCGTCAGCATAGACAAGACCTTGCTTCCTGGCAAGTTGAAACTGTGGTGCCTGCAGTTTGGATTGCTCCCCCGGCTGATGTGGCCTCTAACAGTCTATGAGATCCCCATGACCAAAGTCGAGAAGCTGGAAAGAACAGTGAGCTCATACATCAAGAAGTGGCTTGGCCTCCCGCGTTGCCTCAGCAACATCGGCTTGTATGGACATGGTGCCCTGGAACTGCCCATCTCCTTCCGGTGGAGGTCGGGTGCAGAGGCTTCGTTGCAACATCCACAACCAAGCTTCTGAAGAGATTGGGAGTACGAGGACAGGCCTTCCGACGAGCCATCAAATCAATATCAGAGGCTGCCGAACGAAGCAGCAGATGGCTCTGGATCAAGAGAAAGGACTCCACCTGGGCTGCAAAATGACCACCTAGGGGTAAAAGCAGAGGGGGGCACACCTGGGACGCCAGGTGTCGCCGTTGAGCCCCCTGGAGGTGTCGTGGGCCTATCAATGAAACACCAGTGAAGGGGGGTGCCCACCTGAAGACCCCAGTGAAGCTTTTACCCCCCCCCACTCAATTCCAAGTGCTGATATAAGGGATTGTAATAACTAGTCCTATGAGCTCAACTACTATAATTTTATATTACAAGGAGTGCAGTGCGATCGCAGCATTGGACCGGGGGTGGGAAGTGGGGAGTGCAGTGGTCACAGCGTCGGACCGCGGGGGGGTCGTAACGTCGGACCGGGGAGCTGAGGCGCTCGTAACATCCGATCCGGTGGGGTGTAATGCTTCAGATTTCAAGATCACATGTTGTTGCGCTGTTGAGTCTGAAGTGCAGTCAGTCCGTTCGCTCATCACGTTCATTCAGACGCTGAACGAACGTGAACAACATGAACAAGCGGACTGACTAATGACCGATTGACCGAAATGAACGAAATGAACGGGTCTTTTTACTGAACGACCCGGAATGATCCGGTTCACTGAAATGAATGGTTTTGCCCACCACTATTTGACACTGTGATACTTTAATAAATGTTTTATACGATATTTTGAATTAATTCAGACCTTTTGTGCATTTATTTTTGTCTTGTTACATATTTTCCATTATTCCAATTTTGGGGGGCGTGGTAGCAATTTGATTGACTTTCAGCCATTTATGGCCATGATGTGCTGTTTGTATTTTATTGCTTTTATTACACAGTAGGTTGTGTCATTTTATGTATAACACATAAGCTTTTAGCTAAACTTACTGTATATATTTCATTGTGCTGGGTGCAAATCCCTTGAGTTGAGACGTTTTCTTCAACAAATTTGCTACATTTCATGATCTGAATTCACTTATGCGTATACTAAGGCACCAATAACTGTTTCAGATGTTAGATAGATGTATTTATGACATTTGAGAAAGATTTTGTCTTTCCAGAATCAACATAGCAGTTTCTACAAGCGAAAACAGCAGCACCATATAATTGTTTTTGGGTTACTCACATATATGTACATTTCTGGCTGGTGACAAAAGTCGGACAGATAGTCTGAGTAAATATTTTAACCCAAAGTCCAGAAGGGTATTGTCTATTCAAAAATGCATTGAACAAGTAGCAGCAGCATAGTTGAACGAAATTCACTTTCTAGGCACTTTTTCCCTTGTCCCAATACAGCCTATGACCTCGAGCGAAGTTTCTTTTGCAGAGTTTCAGATGCCGTGGACGTGGATGCATCGGCGATGTTGGCTGAAGGGTTTGACTGACCCATGGCTGCATCACGTTCTTGTTTCTTAAACGCTTTTTGCAAATAAATCACTGGTAGCCTGTCATGTGAAACCCAGCGTCATCAGGAACATTGTCAAAGTCGATATTAACGCAATGTTTATAAGTTTCTGCAAGGTCCTTTGTCTCACCCTGTAGAGAAAGCCACTTTCTAATACTAGTTCTGTAAGTTTCCCAACGTGTCCGTGTAAAGTCGAGAACGTCTTCACTCTGGACAGATGACAGATGCATACAGCATCGTTTCGTTCCTTTTTTATGCACTTTTGAAGGCTGTTTTCTTTTGTTCCTTTTTTTTCTTCCTCTTCGCTTGTCTTGCTGCTAGATGAGCTCGTTGCCATGTTTGTGTTGTTCTGATACTATGGCAACAAGACTTGGCTTCTATTGGTCCACATGACAAAAATCGCTTCACCCCTTTGCATATTCGATTGCGCGTGTGCAAGTATCACTACGTCGCAGAAAGGAAATAGTTCGACACAGAAACACTGATTACTAAAAATCGACTGGATGGCAAGAGTAGATATTTTTTTTTAGTACTTACTATCAATAGAGCTATTTTATGAATCACAGTTTATGTTGCCCCACTGAAGTGGAACAAAATTCACTTTCTAGGCACTTTTTCCTTTGTCCCAGTACAGCCTATAATACCCTATTAATAAGTTGAAATACGGTATCCCCACCCTATTTGTCTTTGTAGGTCAACATCATATGTTTCCTTAATTATTTTCTTAGAAAGCACCAGAAGGCTTCATTTACCTTTTGAAAACGAAAAACAAATGTCCCGGGCAAGGATACCCGCGGACCCCCCTTCATGGCTCTGGTTTCCAAAACTTCAGCCCCACCCATTGGCGTCGTTAGGCCTATTTAAGGGGGGCTGAAGCCCCCCTAAAATATTCTTTAGCCCCCCTGAATATTTTGGGGGTTTTTTGTTTTGTTTTTTTAAATATATATATATATATATATATATATATATATATATATATATATATATTCAATATATATATATATATATATATATTACAAAAAAGTGCAGACAAATTCAATACAAAGACGCAGGAATATGAGTTTAAATATAATAATATAACATGTCATCATTCACTTAAATATGATCACAAATCATTTGGTTTCCCCTGACTTCACTGTGTAAGGTGGAGAGCCTTCGTCAGCGCTTAGTTATTCAATCCGTTCCACTTGTTGATATAGAGAACGCCCACATTACTGAAAATCCAGTCTGCGTTTTCACTGCTGCCAGCAGCAGCACCTACATGCTCCCTGCACACAGTCATAGCCAGACGGTCACGTCACGAGCCAGGCAGAGAGCAGCATCATGGACATACGCAAGTTTTTCAAAAAAGTAAGTCTTTATAGCTGCTGGTAGTAACAATAAGCTCCAGCTAACAGCCAATAGTCCCATGTAATTTATGAACCAGGTGCTCCCCATTTTGAGAAATAAAAACCTGGCTATCACACCAAGTTAAATTGTTAGCATGATGTTGATTTCTGTCACTTGTTTTAGCTCTGAAAAAAGCGAGCTGAGCTCATTCACGTATGATTATCATCAGTGGATAATAATAATAATACACTAATAATACTCACCCCACCATCCCCACTGACCTGTAGGAGTTAGGACAGGGGAGCACAGCAAGTGAGAGGGGAGTCTAAAAGAATTCACAGGAGTGACGCAGACAGTCTGATCACAATTTTATGGAACTCAATATAGATATGAAATATGAAATTTCAGTCATGGTGCACCATATAAGACTTATTTCATTTGAGTTTTTATTTAAGAGAGTCAAGATTAGAAAGTGGAGAGAGCCAAGAGATAAATTAGCCTGACCCAAATATTTTTGGGGGTTCTATTTTAATATTACTTTAAGTCAAGTAATTTAGTAATATTTTTCAGGGCTTTAAATTGCAACCATTTTAGTCACATATGGGCCCAAAATGTAATCTGTGTAACATCTTACTATTTGGGAGCAAAAAATTACTGTGGTGTGTGAGCTTAAGTCATGACATTAGCCTCTATGTTGGATTAGTTATTAATTCAATGTGTTTCAATGTATCTTGGAGGGTCAGGCAGAAGGAAAGGCTGAGGAGCTGCAGCAAATGGCAGAGGAAGCTGAGAGATGAGAGCAAACAGACCAAGAGAGGGAAAATAATGAAGCAGCTGCAGCAACTTATTCCACTACAGGGTTTGATTTAGGTGACAAAGACACAGGGCCCAGACAGGTCAAGCTGAAGAGCTACCCACAAGATAGTTTTGGTACACAGAAGCGAGCATTTCACTACAGCTGGTTTGAAAAGCACAACTGGTTAGGATATTCAGTCAACCAGAATACAGCTTTCTGTTTCCCATGTAGAGTGTTTGGCAAAAACATAAAACATGATAGTTTGGTAGGTAGTGGTTGCAAGAACTGAAGAAAAAACAGACTGAAATAAAACAAAAAAACTCCTGGTGGCCTGAGACTACATCTTAGTTAAATCCGTCCAAAAAAGCTGAAAAGCAATTTCTCAGTCTTTGTTTTCTGTCTGTGAAATTTTGTGCTCACTCACTACGATCACTCACATCCTGTTCATCTCTTGGGGGCTAAGCCCCCCCTGTCCTTAAAACCTAGTGACGCCCCTGGCCCCACCTATTATTTTTCTCACCACACTCTCAAAACGAATGTGTCAAAAGTAACTCATCATGTGTTATTTCTTAACACATCCGTGTGTCTAGTTAAGGACAACACACAATGTGTTGTTTTGACACATGACTTTGTGTTGACAGATTTTACACATATTGTGTGTTAAATGTGTCAACACATCAACTGTGTTGGGTTTACACAAAGATAACACAGAGCTGTGTCATATTTTCATGCAATTTACACATAGCTGCGGTATGTATTCTTCACACAAAAGTGTTTTATTTTCATACAATTTACACACAACTGTGTTACATTGGATACATCATTCATTCGCTCACACAGTCACACTTTGGTGGTGGTAAACTACCTTAGTAGTCACAGCTGCCCTGTCGGAAATGTGGCTGCCATTTTGCACCTCTGACCACCACCACACAATACTCGCAATCATACTCCAGTGGAGGACACACACTGGGGGCAAGGTGGGTTAAGTGTCTTGCCCAAGGAAACAACGGACAGACTTGGGATAGGGGGGAATCGAACCGCCAACGTTCCAGTTATTGGACGACCGCTCTTACCTCCTGAGCTACTGCGATTATCTGCTAAATTACCAAACCTGGTCAAAGGCAGTGGCGAGTGCTGCCCCCAGGAGGATCAAAGAAGGGATTACACAACATGATTTTTTTCCAGAGCTGGTTCATATGGCAACTTTCTCAGTGCATTGCTCCAATCAACAACCCTAAATTAGAGTTACAAGCTTCCATGACCCAGGGTCAACCAGCCAGGGACCATCCAGGTGTCTGAGTAAAGTGGACAGATCAGCTGGGGGTCCTACAGAAATGGGACTTATATATTTGGATTTATTTCCCCCCGAAATGGAACTTAATATTTTATTTTTATTGAGTTAAAATAGTACAACCCAAACCATTGTCAATTAAGAGAACCATACGTCTGTGTGTGAGGAAAGGTATACTCCTGTCTTCAGGGCACCGTGCTACTCAAGAATCTGGTCTCAGATACAAGTTCAGTGGCCTTTTGTCCACCCTGAGACTGGGTGTTTGGAGGTTTGATTCCCCTGCTGAGGGGCTTCCTCCCTCTCAAAAAATTAAAAATAAATAAAGAAAAAAGTAACAGAATTTATAAAAAAAAGATGATTCCAGAATTATTCACAAGTACGACAATTAATAAAGCCACTGCTTGGTTAAAAATAACCCTGGCAGGTGTTTTCATTAATAACCTCTTTGACCTAGCAGTGGCTAACACATGTTGTGTTTCATTCACATGATAACTATTTTATGTGTTAAAATAGCATTAACTCAAAAGTGTGTCTAGGATAATAACACAGGATGTGTAAATATAACATAACAAATGTTGAAATATAATAACACAAAAAATGTGTATGATTTTAACACATTCATTTTGAGAGTGCAGCCGCCACTGACCTTTACCTATTACTCTGTATTTGTGTACGTGTGCGTGTGTGTGTGTTTGTGTGTGTTACCCCGTGCACAGTGATGTTCGGTTGTTTAGAGCACCAGCCTGCAGTGAGGCGAGTCAGGTTAAAACAGGAACAAGGAAGTTGATCCCGATCGATTGGGTCTAGACCCTGAAGGTACAAGTTTCCCAACCAATCAGAGGAGCCCATACTGCCACAACAACTCTCCTGTCAATCAAAATGAAGAAGAAAAGATTCAGGTCCCGACAGTTCGGTCTTTGGGTCTAAACAGAGGCCTGTTTGGACTCACATAGTGCTGGATCCTGTCCATCAGGGTGTCCCGGCTGTCCCCGTCTCCTTTGTAGTTCATGATCATGTCCTGCAGTGTGGCGTCAACTTTCTTCGTGATCTGAAATTCAAACGTTTTGTTTACCGCTGAGGATTTCACTGTTCGGTTGTTAATTGAGACAAAAATAAGAGAGAAAAACTGATCATAGTGTTGGACCTCATGAAGATCTGACCCAGTGTACCCGGACCAGGAAAGACGTCTCTGAGACTGTGACGAAGCAACGCCGTCACTGACTTCAGGCACACACCCACACACGCACACACCCTGCGGAGCACATTCACCGACGCGAAGGGAACACGCACACACCGAGCGCACATACAGACGCTGATGCCGGCTCGAGTCCACACACCTTCACCAAACTTTTCCCTCGCTACCAGCGGTTTCCTCACTCGGTAAAAACTCACCATTTCCTTCCTTTCCCCCTCTGTCTCTTAGCGTGAACAAGGGTGCACACTTGGGAGCACTAACCTTTTATCAGCATACATTTACACAACTTTGAAGCAACTACCTTAGCGCGCGTCTTAGGCTATGTTCCCACTGCAGGTCAATTCTGATTTTTTTAACCATATGTGACACATATCAGATTTTTTCATGTAAGTGTGAACAGTGCAATTCTGATTTTTTTCAAATCCGACCCAGGCCTCTTTTGTATGTGGATATAAATCGGATATGTATCTGATGTGACTGTAGTGTGGATGCTCAGGTCGCGTTCATCTGACATATACGTCATCAATGTGCGACAAACACCACCATTGTTCGACAACACAAACAGGCGCAGAAAGCAATGGCGAACGAGGGAACGGAGAACAGCCAGCCAACATGCTTTGTGTGCGGGTCACTTCACGGACACATTCCGTTCATATTAGATGCCACATTCATTGTTGTAATGTGAATGACCGCACAAAACCACTCAGATCTTAGAGACCTGACGGGGTCAGACCTGAGCCCAGCTGAGGGGTTCCAAAAGTTCACTCAGACCTGAATCTTCTTTCACTTTTTCAGCTGCAGAGATTCTGAACACTTTTGTTTAAAGATGAAAAATACTTGATCCTGTGCGACCCGCCAAAATGAAAGCTGTCTCACCGTACTCCGGTGTAGGAGCAGCAGCAGAGTGACGAACAGCTGACCCAGGACCAACACGATGAAGAAGCCCAAGTACTGAGGAAGAGGAGAAGAGCTGAAGGTCAGGAGGTTAAAATCGTTTCAACTTCAGATTGAGAAACAAACAAGATCACAGTTACTTCCTGTCAGAGATCAGAGGTCATAAGAAGAGCGACTCACCACCAGCAGCAGCAGTCGGTTCTCTTTAGCGATGGCAAGGAACCCGACCAGGCTGACCACACCCACCACAGCACCAATCAGGAACAGCCCCGCCCCCACAGTCTGCAGCTCATCTGAACAAACAGAAAAAGAGGACGGCCATCATCCTGAGAGCAGATCTGACCAAACTGGTTCTGGTTCTAACATATCTGGTCCTGACAAATCTGGTTCTGAAGAATCTGGTTCTGAAGAGTTTAGTTCTGAAGAATCTGGTTCTGCCCACAGAGAGGATTCCTGTTTTCATTGAGTCACATCTTCTGTGTTATTGACCCACCAATCAGAAGCTGAATCTGTGATCAGCTGACCTCTAAAGGTCACAGTATAGAAATAGTGAAGATAGATCTGTTTGTTCGGGTTCATCTCTGCTGCTTCATTTATTCATAGATGTCATTTAACGCTCCTGGAAGGTTCTTGTTGAATTTTGCTCCCCCCTGTGGACTAAAGGGAACCTCCTCTGTCTTTGTGAATTCTCCTGGTTTATATTTAGTTCCTGTCTGAGTTTTTATTGGACGGTTTCAGACATCTCTGATATCGGTACTGAGATGATCCCGCTGTAGTGTTGTGTCGTTCGTGAACGATTCGTTCAAAAGAACCAAATCTTTTAAGTGAAGGTACTGAACCGAAACACTTCCTCAACTGATTCATTTGTTTCCTCACTTCAGTTATAACACGCAACATTGCCAGGCGAGCAGCCAGGGAACAAGGGACCACATGCACCAACGCCTGAATCACTCAGTGAACGAATCACACATTGAACTACACTCTCTGGAACCTTTTTTGGCAGGGCAAAACTATTTTTTTTTCCTTTTTACTGCTAAATTGCCACCACAACAACTTGCGTACAATAGGACACAGCATGTAACAAGTTGTGCATAAAACCCGCAGCATCCTATTACTGCAGCAGTTTGTGAGGGAACGGTGCATGTTCAGTGTGAATTCCTCTAAACGTTCAGTGAACGAATCACTCACTGACACCAATTTACCGAGCAGACCTGATAAATAACATACCATAGGTCAGTACACTTAACACATCATGACTTATAAACAAGTTCATTGTTACAAACCTGTTGGTCAAAGAAACACAGACAAACACTCTCATCTCCTGAAGCTCTGATCTGAACTGAATCCTGAACTATTCAGCTGTGTATCAGTTCAGGAGGTCGGAGTCACAGGCTGAATGATTCAGTGATTTAGTGAACAAATCTTTTGAACGAATCTCTTTAGTGAACTGATTCTAGTGACTCAGTACATCTAAACAAACTGCCGTGCCCATCACTATCCTGCTGTCACTGATCATCAGCTCAGTTTTTGGAGGTCGTTGTCGTCGATTTCACGGTCTGTTGTGTATTTACTGTTCTGTTGTTTGGAGCCCCATAGTGGCAGTTACCTGTGCTTACATCATTTCCTGAATTTGTGACATGCATATATTTGTATGTGTGTATGCCTGTATATGGACTTGGACGTGTTTTTTTATATGAACTCATCTCTGACCTTTTATAAAGACTCTACTTACCTAACCTTTATATTTCCTCTTATGGTTATTTGTGTAATCTTATTTTGATCCACTGTTCAACTAGTACTTTAAAATGGCCACCAGTACCATCCAATTAGGAGCTGTGGCTGTGTCTCATTTCAGAGACCGCACCGTAGAACAGCGCATTTGAAGTGTGCGTGATATCATCACGCAACACTAACGGTGTCCCATTTGGCTCGAAATGCTGAGCGCGCTTCAAATTCAGTCTCAAAACCACACTAACCCCGCCCCTTTTTAAGCGTGCATTTATGCGCATTTCGGGCGAGAGGCTGGACTCACTTGGAGACACAGCGCGTCTTCAAAGAAAAAACAAGAAATCCAAAAACAGCAGACAGTCAGCTCAGGCTGTATGAGCGCATGATCTCTGAACTCACTAAAATCTGCAAACCAAACATTATACTCTATAGAAAAGAACTGATCTGCTCTGCTACCACAATCAAAAACATTAGAAATAAGAAAGCTGACAAAACTACATCAGAGTATCATTGACACATTGAGGGTTTTTTTTTTAAGACTTAGAGATTAAAGTTGTAGACTTAGGAGAAAAAAGTCATAAAGTAAATAAAGTCATAAAGCTGCTTTTGTGGAGGGGGAAATGACTGAAACTGGTCATCTGCAGGGTTATCTGTGGATGTATCAGCGGGTCATTCAGAGAGTTTTTGTGGTTTCTGAAGAAACAATCCAACAGATGATCAACATTTGAGATCCAGAGGGAGTCGAGCTCCGACGAGCACCACGTCTCTGACACCGGCGGTAACCTACACCTGCAGAGACACCAACACCTTATTATGGCAAATGGATTCATATCATAAACTAAAGCTCAATGCCATTCATGGATATTTACGGCTGTATCGACAGATTTATCCTCAGCATATCCGTATCTGCCTCCACAAAAGCAACGATTTCCTTCAAGTACACCTGTTTTCTTTCCCCGTGGAAAAAACGTTTTTCTCATATATTCTTTTTTTAAAGTCTTTATACTTGTAACAATGTAATGCTGATGTGCCAAAGGATGAAGTATCTCCTTGTTTGTGAAACCTATACTGAAGTTCCTTTAAATGCTTCATGGCCCTAATTTTAACAACTCTCCTTTGAAATAACAGGTAACATTACGACTTTATTCTCATAAATTAATGACTTTATTCTTGTCAATTCACGACTTAAATCTCGAAGTCTTTAAAAAAATTCTCATTATGGTCCTCATACTCCTTCATACAAAACATGCGATCATTGGATTAATTTTGTGGAAATGATCTGTGCTTGTATGTATCTATTGTCTTGTGTCTGTGAAAGGTCGCACAATTAAAAAATAACTGCTGCACTCCGCGGCTTTTCTTCACGTCAGTCATGACGCAAGCCTGAGGGCGGGGACATTTGACGACTCAACCACTCAACCACTCAGCCGAGCGCGCTCAGCCTGATGCGGTCTCCAAAATGAGACACCAGGGCTGTGTCTGAAATGGCATACTGCCTACTATCTACTTACCTACTCAAGCAGTAGCTACTGCCTACTGACTACTCAAAGATGATTTGAGTATGCCGCGGCTGCCCGAGCGTTTACATACGGATGCATACTAAATACCCCAGAATGCATTTCGTGCCGGCCGGACACAGCGCCGGGAAAACTTAAAATAGTCCTACCACAAGCTACACAGAATGACTGCATTCCGGACAAATTATATAAATTCATTCAATAATAATATTTTTTTTAGCGAGAAAGTAAGTGTTTACATCACGATTATGAGCCCAGTTGTTTGAAATAGTGGCTGTTTGTAAATTTGTCTCGGCGTTTTCGGAGACCGAAGCGTCCGCTTGGTGGGTGTTTGAGTCTATTTACCGTAAACACCGGGCAGCAGCAGCTTCCCCTTCACGTTTCCAAATTATTGCAAAGTGTTTTCATAATCAACAACTACACAACACAAACCGGGCGGCAGTGGATGACAAAAATCACACAAACATCTGTGTATCCATGGTGATAATGCTATACACCACCTGCTAGGCGTGTGATGAGCAGCAGAGGGCTGCAAAATGACCAACACACAACATAATTATTATGACCTTGTTCGGTTATTCCTTGGCAAATACATCATTTCCCGACTAAATTCTTTTCATGTACAATGATAATTTCAGAAACCATCAGATTTTCAACCACAAGTAAGAATTAGTAAAGCTCACATACATTGTCAACTGGAAGCTCCCCCGTTTGTATATTCTGAACCATGTGCTCTCTACCAATAATTATTTTTATTAATCAGAGGTCTGTGCTTTCTATGAGTGACCACTTTGATGATGCATTCAGAGATGAGAAGATGCTCAAACTTGATGTAATAAATACATCTTTAATAGACACTTAAATAAATAAAGTCAATTCATACGAATAGTTAAAAACATTACCTATAATCCTAATTTAAAATACAAATAAATCTTGTAAAAAGATCAAAATATGATAAAATGATAAAATTGTGTAATGTATACTGACTAAATATTGTTTATCTATTTACATATGTATATAATTATGATTGCAATCACATGCCATCTATTTCTTTTCAGCCTCGGGAAAGAGGGCCATATTACCAGCTGAGGTGTGCAATGCATTGTGGGGCAGAAGCAGTACGTGAAGCAAGCTCCGTTCCACACTCAGAAATCGAAGCCGATTGAGTATACATCCGGGCATTTCTCGCATACACAAAATTTGCATACTGTACAGTGTGAACGCACTGCCTACTCAATTCAGAGGCGGGGTTAGTAGGAGTAGTAGGAGTAGTATGCCATTTCGGACACAGCCAACCTGTCTCTCAGGCTTTTGACCAAAATGGTGCCACTGACACCTTCCTTTGGACAGTTCCCCTCACCCCCATCAGCGCCTAAGTGCTGACAGGTGCTTCAGTTAGGTGCTGTCGAAATAGACACACCCTTGCAATCATTCCACTGGCTGATTCAACCTTCCTCGATTTCAAACCTACCCTATTTAAATGTTGTTTTTCATCCATTTCTGATGACCCTGATGAAACGCAACGGTCAAACAAAGCTGCTTTCCTGAACTAGAGCAGAGCAGACTTTTCTGTGTTCAATCTCCCTCCATCCTCTCCACATGTTCATGAAGCTGCGGTGTCTGTGAGTCCATGTGTTCATCAGGTTCATTTTTAGGGTTAACTTAGTCGTGTGGTCAATGGTCGTCTGAGCTGCTGTGTTTTCATGCTTTCATCGTCTGTGAATCAGAGATGATCATTTTTCTCATTTACAGAACACACCTGTACCTCACCTGTCGTATGTATATTTTATCATATTTTCATTACAGTTTCACATCATGGTTCAGAAAAGCATCGATTGACCTCTGTGTTGAACTGTCTGGATGACACCAGAACTGTCCGTCTGGTATTAAAAAACTCCTAAGTGGAGCTTTAACTAGGACTGGCCGATCTCGAATATTATCATGATTTTTTGAACTTTTTTTAAACTGCCAATTTTAAAGTATCTGTACTAAAAACTAAAGAAACTAGAGATTAGTTCAACAATATATTAACATACAAAGCAAATTAGATAAGATAAACTTGGAAAAATACAAAAATCCTTTTGACTCAATAGTACAACAAATGTAGATGAATATTGATTAATAAAGTGAACTAGTTTACTGTCCTGAGTGTTCTTGCAGGTATGCAAATCCAAAAACTGTCACGCACAAGTTTGATTGAGTAAATATGCTAACAGCTGATCACTGTGATCGAAGTGAAATTAATCACGATCATTAATCACGATCATATAATTGCCCAGTCCTAGCTTTAACGGACCCCCTCATTATCCTGAATCTCTTTTCTTGCAGGTGTGTTTACCTGAGGGGAGGACGGTCAGCAGGTTCCACTTATCAAACAGGACCCAGACAGCACAGAAGAACAGACTCAGACCCAGAGCCTGCAGAAAGGGGTCAGGGGTCAGAGGTCAGAGGTCAACGAACTCCAGAAAAACACCTGAACATGAATAAACAACTCTCACCTGAAAATGAAACCAGGTGGGTTTGTCTCATATCTGAAAATACTACCATCATGACCTTTATGTTTTCAACCACATGTTTACTCTGAGGTTTGACACAGCTGTGTCGAATCCTTGACTCTGAATGGTCAAAAATAAACAGAGTGTCTCTGTCGTCTCTGCCTGTTGACTCTGTGGTAAAACCGTCAGGGTCCAGAGTTTCAGGAAACCATGACAGTCAATGCTCTCAGAGATCAGCCCTGGGGGCTCCCTGATGCAATATTTTTTTTCGTAGGATTGTAGGGGGAGGTCCTGCCCTCCTTCGCCTCTGATTGGCTAAAAGTGCTGGGCTCTGATGAGTTATTCCTTATGGCTGTAAAACATCATTGTCTGTCGGGTTAGGAGATTCAGAATTGCGATAATATTCTGTTCGGTGTCCAGAGCCGACAGCCTGCATTTGGCTTGAACATGTGATGATGTTTCCAGCTTTTCTAGCCAATCAGAGGTGAAGGAGGTGGGACTTTTCCCTACCATCCTCCAAAAAAAAAAAAAAAACACCTCCTGGACCCAGACCGCCCCTGACAGGAAGAGCTGAGCAACATGCTGTCCTGCAATCAGTGTCCTGCAAGCTGCTCGTCATGTTAAAGTTATTTTCTTCATAAACTGTAAAATAGTCCAGATCAAAGCAGCTGAGGTTTAAAGCTGAGATGATTAAATGTTTCCTGATTTCATTTCTGTTAAAGATCAGAAACTTCCCTCACATGATCCCTCTTCTCCGCCAATATTAAAAATGTACATCTAGAATATTGAAGGAGAATTACGAAGTCCAAACAGCTCTATGATAGCAGATCATGAATTTAAAGACTAAAGGTCCTCATACCGACCCCTGAGGAACACCATATGTTAGATCAGGACAGAAGTCTTCAGGTCTACGTACGGTTCTCCTCTCCTCTCTGTATCAAACGGACCCGCTTTTTAGGGAGGGAAACTAAATCATGAAGTTCAAACTTCTAAAAGTTTATTTTTTTTAATCTCACCAGAAAGACGAGGTTCAAAACCACCGAGAAGAACTTAAGAACCTGGACCTTCACTTCCAGCTTCATCTTTCTCACTCAGCAGCTCCAGGACTCTATCAGGACTTTACTGGGCCCAGGTCTGTTCAGCAGAACTACAGCAGCTCCAAGACACGATCAGGCTCAGGTCCCAGGACTTTTCCAGGTTTAGATCCACTCAGGAGAAATGCAGCAGTAGGTCTGGATGAGTTTGAGTCACAGGTGTGTGTATTCACCTGAGACCAGAGTCCACTTCCTTATTGTCCCATCATTTATTAAACAGAGTTCAGGAAGAACACACACACACACACACACACACACACACACACACACACGCAGAGTCGAACCAGGAAACAGTGAAATATTCTTTAATTCTGATAAACTGTTGAAGTTCAAGTTTCATTTTCTCACTTTGAACTCTGTACAAAGTTTGTTGTTGTTTTAAATCAAAACAATTTAAAAATAAAATATATTTTAAAAATGTTTAAAATTTAAATTCAAATTTATTTGTATATCACTTTTCAGACAAAAATTGTAGTTCAAAGTTCCTCACAGAGGCTAAAAACAACAATTAACAACAATAAAAACCGACCCTCCCACCCACCCATGGACGCTCACACACACCCACCCTCACTCACCCACACATACACACACACACACACACAAGCGCACACAGTGTGAGAATTTAAGATATATTGTTAGAGACATGGCCTGACATGAGACATTTCATGAGGAAAGAGCTACCTTTGGGAAACACTGGAGATAAAAGATAAAAAAATAAAATGAATAAATAGATAAATAAATAAATAAAAAGGTAAAAAGAAAGAGTTAATCCTGAAAATAATCTTAAATGAACAGATAAGTGAGAGCTCTTTACCATGTAAAAGGGGGTAAAAGAAGTAAAAACCTCTATGACAGAAATTAAGAAAAAGACTAACAACAGAGATAATCAATAGAATTACATAAAAGAAACAATAAGAACTTTGACCCCAGTGACTCAGTCTGTTTGGATCCAGAATCACAACCTCCCTGAGCCGGGTCTGACCCTCAGCAGCCCCCCGTGGATAACAACGAACACACGAAGAGTTAAATGAGTTTGAGACTCGCCGGGTCACATGACATCTGACAGCCAATCAAACACAGATTCATCATGTGGACAGAAGACTCTCCTTTCAGACTCTGAGGTCCCCCTGTCAGGTTCTCAGGCTTCAGTTTGAGAACCTCCGAGCAGTTAATGAGATTTACAAACAGGCGCTGTGACCTTTGACCTCCACTTAAACACAAACATATTACATCCAGAGTGAGGCTCTCAGAGGTCAGAGGTCACAGCTTGGCCTCGTTCCCACGTCCGTCACAGCGTGTTTTTACTGCCGGGCCCTCCACCATCTACATCCCTATGGGGTTACCACGGCAACACCTCCTCTCTGACGTGTTTATGTTCCTGACAAAGGTCATCATGATATCACCAGGAAGTTAACCCATTGTAAAATCCTACTCTCTGATTGGCTGTTTGCTCCCTGCAGCAATACCTACACATACATACACCTGAAAGTGCAGGTAACCATGGCAACAGCATCCATCATTAACCATCGGCATGAAGTAAGGTATCATGGGAATATTCTCAAGGCCTCCAGGCTCTCCTTCAATGACCTCTTTACCTGAGTCAAGGTGAAGACCAAAACATCTTCAAGGATCTTCAACTTCTTCAAGGACTCATTCCAGTCCTTTGTGGACCATTTGAGTTATTCAAGGACCTCATCTGAGGTATTAAAAGTACCTTGGACAGCCATAAGTCAACCTTGAAAACTCTGATAAAGGCTCCAAAATGGCTTCATGGCCTTCTTAAACTTCCTAAGGGATTCTGGTGGATTTCTAAAAGTTCTTCAAGGACTCCTAGACCTCCAGAACCTTCTTAAAACCTAATGCAACATCTTTGAGGGCCTGGAAATACCACAAGGCCCCCTTAGAATCAGTTATTGAATACTGGAATAGCCTTGAGGCATCCTGTAACTCATTTAAGGACCTCAAGAACTTTTTCTAACTAAAATTATACATATTCAAGGACCTTGAACTTGTTCAAGGTTCCTTAACATTTTTTAAGGAAACCTTGGAGCAGACCAAAGTTCACTTAAAATTTATAAAATCAAAAAGTCTCCAGACTCTTTTTCAATGACCTCTTCATCTGCATTAAGGTGAAGCCCAAATCATCTTCAAGGTTCTTCAAGGACTCATTCCAGTCCTTTGAGGACCATTTCAGTTATTCAAGGACCTTAAAACAGCTGTAAAACTCATTTGAGGTATTAAAGGTAAGGCCCCCTTAGAATCAGTAATTGAATACTGGAATATCCTTGAGGCATCCTGTAACTCATTTAATGACCTAAAGAACTTTTTTTAACTAAAATTTTACATATTCAAGGACTTGTTCAAGGTTCCTTAACATTTATTAAGGAAACCTTGGAGCAGACCTAAGTTCCCTTAGAACTGATAAAATCACAAAGTCTCCAGACTCTTTTTCAAGGACCTCTAAATCTGCATAAAGGCCTTCTTTTCAAACTTAAAGGCCTGGAAACACCTCAAGGCCTCTTCAAGGATCAGAGGGACCGGCTTGAATCTTTTTCAAGGATCCCAAGAACTGCTTCAAATCTTAGTAAAGAATCTCCAATGCCTGGATCTACCTGGAAATCTCTGGAAGTGCTTGAAACCCACAAAATAATGTCTCTAAGAACCTGAGAGTCTGGCTTTATAGGGTTAAAACACACACACACACACACACACACAAACACACACAAACCTTGTACAGTGTGTTTCCCAGCAGGAAAAAATTTCTTACAGATCAACCCCCCCCCCCCCCCATACCCTAAGGCATGCTGGGAGTTGTCACTGGGAACACTGGGAGTTTAAGGCTGTGTCCGAAATGAATCACTCAATCCCTAACTCCTAACCATCGTATGGTCACTACATTTTGCAATGGTTTATGGGAAATTTTGAGTTGCCTATATAGGGCACTGGAATTGATCACTGAGGTTTCGGACACCCCTCAAAATGGTGCTAACCCCCATGGAGTCACCTATATAGGGGTGAAGGATCCATTCCGGACACAGCCTTTATCTGTGTTTATGTTAAGGTGGCGATTTAAACCCTCAGCATCGTCTATCAAGCTGTGTTGAACAAACAGGTTATAATCATCCATTATTTTTACCCCCTCCTTGATGTTCTGCTGCACTGTCACTGAACAGAGCTCTGTGATTGGACAGAGACCCTGCAGACAAAACTCAGGGCAAAAAAATCAATGTTTCCTCATTGTCTAAATCTGTGAATTTATTTACAAGTTTGTCCTCTGAAACGGAAAACTAAAAACAAGACAATAACAAGAAAATCCAAAAAGCTGCAGTTCCTCTCATGTGAGAATAATAATAATAATAATAATAATAATAATAATAATAATAATAATAATAATAATAACAATAATGATGATGATGATGATAAAAAATAATACTACTACTACTACTACTACTACTACTACTACTACTACTAATAATAATAATAATAATAATAATGATAAATAATAATAATAATAATAATAATAATAATAATAATAATATTACTGATAGACTGGAGGTATGGGTATAAAAGATACTCACAATAATCAGACAAACATTGAATTACTCATAAACAGACATAAGTGACATCTCAGGTTCGATTCCTGAATTTGCAGACTGGTGGGAAACATGAACCTCCGTGTTGTCTGCGGCTTGTCTGTACTCGTCTGGAAAAAACAGAAGCTGTGGGCATGTCAGGATCTGTCCTGCTGTAGTTTCACTTTCTCTCAAATAACAATCTGAGTCAGCCGGTTTAACCCTTCACTGACACACATTCCTGTCCCAGAGACAACAAGATCACAGAAAGGAGATGGTCAGACTTTCAGGGTTTAGTTAAAACGGGGTTGGTACGACATTGTTGTGTTTAGTGTTTATCGCAAAAAAGAACAGAATAATGTCACAGGTTAGGTTAGGTTAGGGTTAGTTAGGGTTAGTTAGGGTCAGGTAAGGTAAGGTAAGGTAAGGTAAGGAAAGGTTAGGGTTACGGTAGGGTAGGGTAGGGTTAGGTTAGGTTAGTTTAGGTTAGACTTGGTTAGGTTAGGTTAGGTTAGGTTAGGTTAGGTTAGGTTTAACTTGGTAAGGTCAGGTTGATGAGTTTGGGTTTGATAAGGGAAAGGATGATGAGATCACATTAAGACTGGTAAAGTTAGGTTATGTTGAGGTTAGGTTCTGGTGTGAATTCAGTAAGCCTGGGCTGGGTTTGGTAAAGTTCGGTTTGGGTGTAACACGGGTCAGATTCAGTAAAGTAAGATTCTAGGTTAGGTTCAATAGGTCCAGGTGAGGTTTGGTTAGGCTATATTAGTGAGGTTAGGTTAGGCGTAGTGAGGTTATGTTAAGTTGGTCAAGGTCAGACGAGGTTAAGAAAGGCTTCATAGGTAGGTAAGATTAGGTTAGGTTAGGTTAGGTTAGGTTAGGTTAGGGTAAGGTAAGGTTAGGGTTAGGTTAGGGTTAGTGAGGTTATGTTAAGATGGTTGAGGTCAGACTAGGTTAAGTAAGGCTTCACAGGTAGGTTAGTTTAGGTTAGACTTGGTAAGGTTGGGTTAGGTTAAGCTAGACTAGGCTAGGGTGAGGTTAGATTAGGGAAGGCTTAAATTGGTTAGGTTAATGAGTTTGGGTTTAATAAGGGAAAAGATGATGAGATCACATTAAGACTGGTAAAGTTAGGTTATGTTTAGGTTAGGTTCTGGTGTGAATTAGGTTAGCCTAGGCTGGATTTGAATAAGTTCAGTTTTGTGTGTAACATGGGTCAGATTCAGTAAAGTAAGATTAGGTGTTAGGTTCGATAGGCCCAGGTGAGGTTTGGTTAGGCTAAATTAGCGAGGTTAGGTTAGGCTTAGTGATGTTATGTTAAGTTGGTCTAGCTTAGATGACGTTAAGTAAGGCTACATAGGTAGGTAAGGTTAGGTAAGGTAAGGGTCAGGTTAGGGTTAGGTAAGGTTAGGTAAGGTTAGG